CATTAAGAATACAGCTTAAGCTGTTGATATGACTGGTTTTTGAGTAAAGATTTAATTCATACGTACATTTGTCACTAACGTGAGGCAGAGAAAATCAAAAATGAAGTTCCCAACAGGACGAAATTTGAACCTCGGATCTACGGATTTCGTTGTCCAAAACGTCTTGTGTAAGAAGGAGATTCTTTCCAGCAGAGCTTTACGATCTTCCTATTAAAATTTAAATACATCTTAAATTTCTATACATGGAAAATGAATTCAAATGGTTTATTATTATTAGATTCTTAGTAAAAAATTAACCAACCGAATGGAAAAAATCAACGGATAAAATGTTTTCATTTGTTTTCATCTCGAATTGTCAGATAACTTTCGTTTTAATTAGAGGTTCAACCATACAAATTTACTAATGCTTGAGAACAGCTGATGTTGACTGTTTTATTTGAGTTTTTCACAATATATGAGAATACTCCAGAAAACTGTGAGAGTGAATGACTTGTTTGAGTAATTTTTCAATTAATTGCAAACAACAAACCGAAAAAAAAGCTAAGAGACTTTATAAAGAGTTTAATTTAAATCCATAGAGAAGTAAAGAAAACGCGGAAAATTGTCCTGGAGGAAAGAATCTAACTATTTCTACAAAATTCACCTTAAGAACGGTTACATTGTAAGAAATATTTACTATCGCACGGAATGACATAGCCATAAATATGAATTACAAAATGCTTGAATTAGAACGATGTAGCATAAATGTTCTTTTGTGGGTTGCTAAAGTTGTCACTTCGAAAAGGCTCTCAGATTGAGAATAAGAAAAATTTAAAGTCATTAAATGCCCTCTTGGATTCCTGCACGACGATATTTTCTATTTTATTCCACGTAGTTAAGCGGGGCTGGAATGAAATGCGCATCAACCAGAGGTCTGTTTTTATTGTAAGAGCACCAATATCTTTCCTTGATACTGCTATGCTTACCAATCGCGTAATTATAGTCAGTGAGGTTTATGAAATATTTTAAGCATTCTTCGGCGAAGCATCAATTCCTAGAAGAAAAATCATCTGTGAGAATTAGACAACGATAGATATTTCGTGATTAGATTGGACTATATTGCATCGAACAAACATTCCCTATATACCATTACATCATTTGTAGCCTTTGATTGGGTGTCTGAAGGGAGTAGGGTAAATGGTCGACACAATGTCAAAATCAATGTTTGGCCCATCTTACTTGCACTTTGGAGTTTCGGCGTCAGTTGGTTATTTCTTAACTAATACTTTGATCTTATTGATTGATCAGCTGTAAAAACATTCAGCTGCATGTAAAACAAGTCTCAGGTGCACAATCTCTTTACTTTCATTGAATCGCTAAAACAGCAAGAGCGACATGAACTTCGCCTTGTCTTTGGCGCTTTGCCTGACATTCGCCTGCGTGGCAAGTTCCTTTGAAGAAGGAGACTTTTTGAAAGAAGAAGTTCAAAATGACAAACGATTTTGGCGATCGGTAAGTGCTTTCTGTTGACGACCTTCGCCAGAGTAAGGCATTTGAAATATTTCATCCGTTTCTTACAGAGAAAGAAAAAAATTTAATTTCAAATCGAAAAAGTCTTAATTTCATAGTTGTACATCATAAGAAAGACAGTCCACCTTTTGAAATCAATTTTACTCAATCATAATCGTAAGCGTTTAACGAACACTTAGTTAGCTTGTTCTAACTAACATGATTATTTCTTTAACCCATACCAATGATCGATGGAAAGATGGAAAAATTTATGGAGCAACGACATTTGCTTAAGGTCTCAAGATACACTGCTAGTAAACTTGGGCCATTTGAAGTTCAATTATTCAAAGTTCAAGCTATTCCTCTCTCAAATTAAAATCTCCAGTTTTGGAGTGAAAGCGACCTCAGTAATGACTCATACCCTATTTTTTGTACAGAGATATTCTAGATCGAGTTTATTGGCTGTTTTAATAAACAATGGCAAAGAAGTATATTTTATTTTCGCCTCAACGATTCATTACTTTTATGGATAAAATATTGGTAAAAAATTAATGCAAAGAAAAACCGGAAGATTTGTTAATTGATCGTAAGTAAGAGAAAATAGTTTCAATTCACACAGTTTCAAGAAGTCCGATGGCAAGAACCAGAATGCGTGTCACCAGTTCACCCTCTTGAAACAGGCCCAGATAAACTCACTGCAAAGAACGCTTTCATAATTCTTAAGGTTGCGAACTCGAATTGCCTTTGGGAAATTAAATCTGTTTAGCCGGAATGTGAAAGGAGAAAATAAAGAGACTAAATCCCTCTCAGATCATCTCGACCGGGAAGGGGTCATTTTGAATCTAGCATAGCAGCCTGGCCGCTTACTTATGACGTAACAGTTTCACTCACCTCCCCTTGAACTCTCAGCTATCTGTTGGCAGCAATAAGGAGCCACATGGAAAGGAATTCCTACCTCTAGAGATGGTCTTTTTGCAAAAAGCGAAAAGCAGCTGTTATGAACGAACTCTGAGACATTTGTGTGAACGAATTCTGGGACATCTGAATAATACGAATATTGAGATATTTGTGTGAAGTGTTGGATTATTTTTCAAATAGTGGCATTCAAAGACGAAATTTTTTAGCAGTTTTGTGGACAATGATCTTGTTGCAGTGATAGTTAGGAATCTCAGAACCTTTTCAATAATGACTTTCCATTTTGTAATAGCGGACATAAAAATATCATGGCTTCAAGAAAATACTTTTCCTTCATCAAAAAATAGTGTCTTCCTTATGCAAACGCTCTTGTTAATTGCTTTGATTCTTGCTCCTAGTTCCGCTTGTTTTAATTGTTTCAAGAGTTCTCTCTAATTTCTTCTATTATCTAGGATTTCTTGGATAAACTCATTGTCTTCTGTTTCATTTCCAGTGTTCCAGTGATGCAGATTGTTCCCCTGGCAAGTGCTGTTTAAAATATGGTTTCTCCATGTGCAGAGCGTATTTAGCAGAGGGCAAACCCTGCCGTCTATCCTCCGTAAGTAGAACGAGACCCCTGCTACTCGGCAGTTTCTCGATTTGGTGGTTTGGTGCAGATTTAGTCTTTAGTCTTCAAAATTGCTATTTACCAATATCCTAAGCGTTAACTCGTTAGCGCTGTAGCAATATTTTTAGCTCCCTTGATAATGTCCATGCAATAACCAAGTCCACTATCTTTATCTTTTCCACTTTTTATTGAAGATTATTTCCACCTTTTGTAGATTCATCTAAGCGCGGCGGGCGGAAGCTTATGTTTCATGTAACTCGGTGGAGGCATCAGTAAAGATTGTTCTCGATATTCCTGTTTCGCTCATTTGAGTTTTGCATTCAAACAGACCTGCTTTTGGAAATGCCAAGAGGGATTAGTGTGTGCAAAGAAACCACCTTTTGGCTTTCGCAAATGCACACGCCCAAGGACCCCTCCGCCAACAGAGGAGGTTGGATCTGGAGGAATGGGGATGTAAACTGATAGCAGTGCCTGCAGAGATGGCTGGGTAGCTACGGTGATGGGCAAAGATTTTAGAGATGTGGTAAATGACTTATTAAACCATTGAAATAAAGGACCATGAACACCATTAAAAGTGCATTTTCTTTATATATCCAAAAACGCCTCGAGTATCCATTTCTAACCTTGCTAACTTCTAAACCTAGCAAATGAATCACAGAAGTCAGAAATTCATTAAACCCTCTTATTTGTGTTTAATAAAGTTGAGGGCTTCCTCATCGTACGAAAACCTCTTGGAGAAATGTATAAATTGAGTCCTATTCACATAATCTAGTTTTACACCTGCGAATATGTGTAATAATCGATCTCGCTCACATCCTTTTCCTCTACCTATCAGAGGAATAACATTCAAACAAAAAGCGTAAATTGAAAGCTATTTTTCTCGTTTCTCGTCGCGATCTTTACGAAAGTTTGGGATCATCTTGGATCGTGATGTAATTTAATTACTGCTTTATAAGTGTACTATATAATTGTCAATAACTATGTTATAACTCACGTAATAAGTTTGAAGAGAATTGATGTTTCCAAACTTTTTTTTCTAATGGTCCTAAAGATTAGATTTGCGACCGTTGAAGGAGTGTGGGTAAGTAATGACTTGTCTGCTGGAATGATCTATACATTGTTTTGTGTCTATCCCTCGATTACATCGTACCTTAGTAGCTATAAACCGCTGAAATGTACTTCTGTTGAAAGTCAGGAAGGCAAGTGCGAGAAAATTGTTGCGAAGTTTTTTATCACATCATTCTGATTCAGAGAGATTTAGTCACTTCTTATCTAGCGCTGATTGCTCAGTTTAAAGGTTTTTCAAGATTTAATCCTCAAAAGAATTTGTGTCATTCACCTTTTTGGTCAGTACACAAAATGTTTGTACTTGAAAACCAGTGAAAATACCTGAGCATTCTTAATGAGCATAGCTGGTACTTAAATGGTCGTTTCAATTTCTGCTATACCCATTTTTTCATTATAGAATTTGGCTTCCTATTCGGGTAAGTCAAACAGGTCTTCTTACATTTATCATTTATTATTTTAACACCAGTACGTGACGGGGGTATCTTAGTTGAAATTCAAAAACATAAGAAATAAACCACGTACGTAGTAAAAACATATTTACTAGTTTGTCCAATGCGCACACAGTCTTTTGGCTCTAGTCAAAAGTAGTAGACGTTGTAAATGTAGAAGTAATTGTTGGAAAAGTGGTTGATTGGAAGATACCTGAAGGTTTTATGAGAATAAAAAGACAGTGACAGATGATTAGAGCTTTCCGCGCTATGCGTGGTTTACTCAGCTTTTCCTCTCGACGACGTCCCAAAAAATTAAGTAACCTACCCGCCATACACTGACTTATCGTTCGTTTAGGTACTTTTGTCTTCTTATTGCTTTTCTCTTAAGTTTTTGGTAATATCAAGAGTTACGCCTATATGGTGCAAGGTATTTAAACTAAAAGCATATAAACACAAAATACTTGGATCACACTCAAACACACTCGATGAGATTAGAACAAGTTATTCTTTGAAGCGACCATCATCAGAGCTGAGACGAAAAGAAGCATCGATGGGTTGCTGACAGACAATCTCCCTTGTCCTATAAATAAAACAATTAAAACGATAGGTTTGAAACAAGACATTAATCACCGCGAGGGAAGGGGGGGGGAGGATTTGGGGGGGGGGTCACATGGTTTTAGGAGAGAAGGGAGGGGGGATCAGTCATCGCCAACAGAGTTTTAGGGGGGGGGCTCTAAAAAATTAACTGCCAACGAACTGCTAATGGGGGAGGGGCGGTGGAATAATTAGAATATTACAGAGCCTTAGGTAAATTTGGGGGCCGTAGGTAAATTTATCGTGCACAACCAATATTCTCTGATCCCCCTTCCCCCTCCCCAGGCAAATAATAATGACCGGTGCTTTACCACATTTTGATGTAATTTTTCGTCTAAAAGTGAACAAGCACTGGAAGGAAAAATCTAAACAGATATCGACCATTCTGAACCTGCATTCTCATGCACACTACGTCATTGCATGATACGGCACTTTATGGTTACTGCTCCTATAAGGCTCGTGCGAACAAAAGAGACCTTGTTTGATGATGAAGGAAGCAACTTCTAACGTCATGAGATTCAAATATCATTATGGCTGGTTTAGTCCTTTATTCCCATTTGTTTTAGATAATATTCATAGCAGAAGGCATTTTCATCGGTTTGATGGTAACTCGCTCCATGAGTGAGGCCTTACTTTAAAATAACTAAGTAAAATGTGCCATCGTAAAGATGACATCTGCAAACCATTAGCCTCCTAAGGCCTTCGGATGACGGCTATAAGCCTAGAGCCACGTCTCCCGGGCCAATTACGCTTTAAAGCTTGCAGAGGAGGGTAAAGAGCCACCGTATTATCTGGAAAGAAAGGGGAAGTCTCGTCTTGTACTGTCCCGTTTACATAGTAGAGAGGAAAACTAAGGGAAATAGGTAACAGGGCTTTTTTAAAAAAATTGCAAAAGCGAAGTTCAGGTTATTTTATTTCATGCTTAGGTTGGTTTCCCCTAAATATCATGTAACAGGAAAATTGTAATGATAATGGTAAAAACCAGTGGTGATTTAATACAAACCTGCTTTAAATGAAGCTTTGAATCCCTTGTAAACCGTGGTAGAGTTGCTGTCACTTTTGAACTGAACCCAGACAATGCTTCCTTTACTCTGCATTGAACTTGGCTTGGTTTTTCCACACAGTCGTCCGGTCAGCATTGGACCGTACTGACCAGTGATAGTTTTGGGATCACCAACCGTAACATATGCTTCACGGAACTCAACGTAATCATTTCTGCAGTCTTTACTATCCTCCAGATCAAACGTGTCGAAGTCTATCTGGACTTGCCTTCCCTTAGGAACAATTAAGAACCACTGCTCTTTGTAATTTGATGGGTAATTCTGGGCGCCAACCTTTGGTGTACCGAATGTAATAGTTTCGTCTTCGGATGCATTGAGATAGTTTGATCTACCCTCTGCAAAGTAAATAAAACTTTCTTTTTACTGCTTAAAAAGTACTTTTTCCATCGCCTTGTCAGCACGTTTGTTTTCATTTTTGCTTGCTTTTGTTTTGGTCTTGTTTTGTAATAATTAGATAGACAGATAGATAGAACCTTAAATACGAAACAAAAAACTGAAAGCCACTTGCTCATGGGTTCGTGTGTCTATTAAGTAAAAGTAAGCGCAATAAGAATTGTTTATATTAAAAATGAAGGTACCGTAAGGCATCAAATTTATTATGATAAATTGTTGGCTTGTCATGAAGGAGGGCGGATGTGTGATTCTGAGCTCCCGAGTTATTGGACTTGTACTCCTCTTGTGTCTTGTTCATACCTCGAGGAAAGGTAAACATGACTACTCTTTTACAAATGAGTACTTTGGTCTACGTTTCCCGCACTCTACGTCGGTTAAAGTGGCAAACTGGGATTGGAGACTCTGCATAATAGAAAATACAAAATGGCGGGCACACGTGCATGTCACTATTAGAGTGAAACGAGCAAACGTTACTACAGCCTATTATGCCAATTCAACCTCGACCTTTAGACCTGTTATACAACTGTTACATGATGTTGAACTTAACCCTGGACCAGCAAACAGCTCTATTAGAAACAAGTCTGAAAAGTCAAATGGCAATGTGAAGATTGCACATCTTAACGTTCGCTCGCTTAAATGCCGTGAGCATTTCGTTCTTGTAAAGGAAACGGTACTGGAAAATAAGTTTGACATATTTACCGTATCCGAAACATGGCTCAACAGTTCAGTTACGGATTTGGAAATAGAAATTCCTGGCTATGTTATCTACCGTATCGACCGACAAGCGAAGATTGGCGGTGGAGTATGTGCTTATGTCTCACGAAATTACAGGACGGAGTACTTGAGCGATATATCTCTTATCACGGCCTCTGGCTTTCACCAACTGTGGCTAAAAATCCACGTCAGGAACATGAAGTCTTTCATTGTCTGTACAACCTATAGACCACCGGACGCATCGTTATCTTGTTTCGATTCAGATCTCACAGAGAACTTTATTTATGCCTCGTCGTTCAATGTTCCAATTTATCTATTGGGAGATTTGAACTGCAGACTTGAGAATAGCAACGATCCTGGAGCTAATGTCCTTGTTAATTTCTGCCGTTCCTATAACTTGTCAATACTGATCAACACGCCAACACGAGTTACAGAGACTTCGAAATCAGTTCTAGATGTTATCCTTGCATCGGACACAAGACAAGTTCAAACGGCTACGGTTATGGAAAGCTCGATTAGCGACCATGACTTGGTTTATTTCACCTTAAAATTGAAGAAAGCGCGCGCCAAACCCGTCTATATTACAACCAGAAGTTTTAAACACTACAGTCCTGTTGATTTTAGCAACGACGTATCACTGGCACCGTGGTCCATAGTTGATGTTTTCGACGATGTCGAGGACAAACTTTATGCACTTGATTCGCTATTTACTGAGATACTCGACCGCCATGCTCCAATTAAAACCTTCAAAGCACGCTGTAAACCAAATCCATGCGTAACAGACAACATCCGGGGATTGATGAAGACCAGGGATGATTGGCGTAAGAAAGCAAAGAAAACAAATGATCCGCTATCATGGACTGCCTACAGATATTTCAGACAGGAAGTAAAGAGGGAAATCAGAATTGCTGAACAGGAATTTGTGGCCCAACAAATCCAGAGGAATCCAAATAACACCAATAATATCTGGAAAGCAATTCGCCAGTGCATCCCCTGCAAATCTACATCTCAGCGAACATACAGTAAGAGCGACAAAGCTGTTGCAGACGAATTTAATCAGTTTTTCGTATCTGTTGGTCAGAGCACTGTTGACAAAATTACGTCCCTGGCTAATGAATGCAACCTAACACTTAATCAGAATTATTTTGTACCGAGCCAATACGCTCTCTCTGACCAGTTCACACTGAGTACCATTGATTATAAACAAATAGAACGTATAATAGCAGCGATGCCTTCAAACAAGGCCCCAGGGATAGACAAAATCCCGATTCGTGTCATCAAGGATTGTCTTAATCCAATTGTTCACCCAATAACGTCTATCGTTAATGCATCCTTTCAAAACTGTGTTTTTCCATCAAAATGGAAGACAGCTGTGGTTACACCAATCCCAAAAGAGGGCGACCAGGAACAGGCAAACATATCTCACTTACACCAGTCTTATCAAAGGTTTGCGAAAGGGTAGTACATAATCAGCTCACCTCGTATCTGCAATCGAATGACACCCTATCAAAGAGCCAAAGCGGTAACAAGAGATGGCATTCGTGTGAAACGTCTGTGATTGAAACAACTGACACAATTCTTAACGCGATTGACAAAAAGAAGTTAACGGCAGTTGTCCTATTAGATATGAGCAAAGCTTTCGATAGCGTCAATCACGACACGTTAATTTTAAAATTGCAAGATGTCGGAATTTCCAGAGACGCTCTCCAATGGTTTCGTAGTTACCTAAGCAACAGGACACAAGTAGTACGAATCCATTCAACGCTATCTGAGCCTTTGTCCGTGACCAACGGCGTCCCTCAAGGAAGTATCTTAGGCCCACTACTATTTAGCATATATACGAACGATCTTCCATCGATCCCACAGAAATGCAGCACTCAGAGTTATGTAGATGATACGAAACTCATCACTTCCTTCGAACTTAAAGACAACCTGGATGCAATTGCTGATTTGGAAGACGACTTGTTTAAAATAGGAGAATGGTGTTCCAACAACCAATTGTTACTTAACCCTGGCAAAACCAAGCTGATGATATTTGGCAGCAGGCAGATGCGTGCAAAATTGCAATTTCGCTCCCTTTCCATTATGGGTGAGGACATCGTCCCCGCAGACACCGCCAAAGACCTTGGTGTGATTTTGGATTCTAATTTAACTTACGATGAACACATAATTAAGACCGCTTCCTCGTGCATGTCCCGCCTCGGCCAAATAAACCGTGTCAAGCATGTTTTCGACAAACGTACACTTTTGATGATTATTAATTCCTTAGTTTTCAGCAGGTTATTTTATTGTTCCAATGTTTGGTCAAATACCTCAAAATGTAATGTTGACAAGTTACAGGCGGTGCAGAACTTCGCATGCCGCATTGTTAGCGGTGCGCGTAAATTTGACCACGTTACACCAATTCGCAAGGAACTAAATTGGCTTTCAGTTCAAAGCCAGCTTTACTACCGGAACGCTACTATGGCCTTCAGATGCATGACTGGTCAGGCTCCAGATTACCTCTCATCAAAATTCATAAAGCGAGCCGAGGTTAGTCGACGTAGCACCAGAAATTCGCAGCTTTTGCAAATTCCATTCTTTAGAACAGCTAGCGGTCAGAGAACATTTTTCTATAGAACTGTAAACTTATGGAACTCTTTGGATAATTCCTTTAAACTGTGCAACTCCGTTAAGGTTTTTAAAAAACGTTTAAGGACCAAATTACTCAAAGAGTTGTAATTTTATATATTTGTATGCTTTTATTTTTCTTTTAGAACATTCAGATTTTAAAACATCTTTAATTGTAAATAGGATTTTTTAATTGTAATAGGATTATTTTTATAACATTGTCTTTGAAAAGCCCCCTTGGGGAAAGTCAATAAAGTATGTTGTTGTTGTTGATGATGACAAACTTTTGAATAATTAAAGCTATAGATTTGAACATTATGTCTGAAAAATTATCAAGCATTTACACGCTACCATATGATTATTAATGTTGGAAGCCACTGCCAATTTGTCGTAGTAGATAACAAGAGTCCTTAAAGATGAGCCTCGAATTGTGAGTGATTGTCTCATATCTGGAATCGAGACAGTCTCGTTCTCGAATAACATAGTTAATAAGGCGGTTTTGTCGCATAATCTCGGAGAGTGCATGAAGTGACTATTCACTATGGGCTGCGAACATCTAAGGGAAAGGGTAGGCCACCCAGTACACCTCAGGACATCATTAGGAGCCACATCCTTCAATTTGGTTTGCACATTTACTCCTTACCTGAGCTTGAGCCAGCAATAAATGTGAGATTGAATCCTTTGTAATGTTCAGTATCATCAGACACGAAACGAATGTAGGCAATCGATCCTGGAAAATTTTGAATGCTCCCACCACTCCAATCGACGAAAAAGAGATACTCGTACAAATAGTTGTAACTGTATCTTCCACAACCTTTACCGGGTTGCTGGTCTAAACCATTGTAGGTGTTACTGATTTTAAAACTGTCGCATTCACAATCCTTGCATGTTTCTATGTCATAGCTACCAAAAAGAAGAGACACAAACAGTTAAAATCCACTTCCTCTTCCCATCCAGCGATAGATACACAGCACCTCATATGAATCCTACAGTTCAGCGAAAGACGAGGAAGGGACCAAATTGAGAACAATTATGGAACAACGGGGGACAAAATCCAAATAGAAGCCTGTGTTGTTTACCAACTGTAAATGCTGATGGCAGTTAATACGCTAGAGAATTTTGAAAGTGTTTTCCGAAAGTTGGAGCAAACCGCGGGATTTGGGGTTGTGTTTGGGTTAATTAGTGCAGAGTGGAGTCATGCTGCTAAAGTGAAAACGGTAACAGATGAAGCATAAACAAATCAATAAATTCACTGAGAAGCGTTCGTCACTCTTTGGGAAAAAGGTGCTAATGGAAAAGGCATTATTGCTGGTCAATTGTAGGTGAGATACGCTGAAACAAATGAAATATTTTGGGCGTATGCACCACGTGAAGAGCTCCAAGGCTCGATCGCCAAATTTGCTTTTAGTCCAAATATGCGCATTTCTCCTTCTTGCCTCAATAATCTAACCCTCAAGACATCCGAAGCTACAAAACTTTATCTTACGGTATTTGATGAAAGAAACACTGTGTACTTTCTAGAATCTTTCGGTGGTTTGTTTTGGAAATTTTTGGCGGTGTCTCGACGGTCAACTGATTAACAATTATTCGCTGAGGGCGAAATTAATATTGTTAAATAATCTTCGAGAGGTTACGTCTAGGACATCGACAAAACGCGTGGTTGCCATTTTGAAATTTAGCGCTCCTGCTACAATGACCTCGCGGGAACTAATAACAGCAAGACATGACGTAATCTGCGACCAATCAGAGCGCATGCATCTCTATAACCACCGGAGCAATTATACTGACCTGTAATATTGAAATCTGATACTTTCATATGTGTCAGGGACTACGATTATCCAACACTTGGTCTCATTCACGCCATAATTACCTGACGTGGGATATATGAGACTACCACTGGATGCTGTAATGTTTGTTATACCATTGGGACAAACTGTCAGAAACGAAAAATGTGGAAACAGCAGATTATTCTCACTGATGTTGCTTACTAAGTTTTACGTGTTCTTCATGTATTTACTCCTACAAGTTTCAACTGGCCAACTTCACTCGTTAAGGAAGGAAATTGTCTCTGCACACATAGCACACTTGACCTGGAAGACTCACTGGCGTTAATTTTTTTTTTAAACTCTCTGAAAGTGAAACAATCGCGGAATCTTGATGAGATGATCACGTAGTGTAAGATTATTATATGAGTTTGCTGTCGTGATCTTATGTATTAATGATGCATTTCTTATGGATGAAAAGTGCGTGAGCATATAGGATGTAAACCTAACATAACTAGAACCTCCGTAACGTAAAGTTTCTTCATCTAGTTACTTCATAGAGTCTCAATCAATTAGCTAGGCTATTGGAATTGATTTCCATACATAACTTACTTGAGTCACATGCTCCTTCTCTAAGGAAGAGCGCCAGAACTGCAACAGGACAGAGCAGTAACGACATTTAGAACGATATTTATCGGAATGGCAGAAGGGCACGAAATATACTTTTTCTGTCTGCTTTTCACAATTTTTGCAATAAAGTGAAAATAAAGAAACACGACCGATATTTGCTTGCACAAAGTTGAGGCAAGAAAAGTCTGAGTCTCCTTCGTTAAGTGGAACCTCACATCGATACTCAACAACTATAACAGCTACAAATACCTCACTACTGAGCCAGGCCATATATCATACGCGTTTTATACTGCTGGGATAAACTGTCTGTCTAATTAGATTAAAAAGACCAGCAAAGATGGTTGGCGATGTTCGCATTCGTTTTGAGCAAAAATATCGTTCAATTGTCCTCTTGAATATATTTACAGAAAAGATGAACAAAAAAGAAGAGCTTGAAAAGCAAAAGGTTTTCCATTTACTTTTGCAGTTAATACAGTTTACTATGTATTACAGCTGGCTCCGATGCTTGCTAAACTTTTAGACAAAGAAAGAAAAAAAGAGCGGAAAATATTGTTATGTTATCTTTTCATCACGGCTGTAAGATTCTTGAAAAATTTACTTGAGATTTATTGTTCGCTTTGTCCACCAGAGTCAATTTGTTTATGTCAGCCCCATGTTATGGACTCATGGCAACTGAAAAGGACACAACAAGTCGAAATCTCCATTCATAAGGGTCAAAATAACGGATATTTTGGGAAACGCTTAGAAATAGACAAAACCATATTAAAGTCAGTTTTTAGTCTTCAGCTTGTATATAAACAGTTTCCTTAAACAAAAGATTGAATAAAAGCTTTCTTATCGGTTTATGTGTTGCCAATAGGTGAATCGAGGTAGGTCTAGAGTTAACTGAGGCAGTAAGGGTTATTGGGTGATCTCGACAGTTTTCGTGCAGTTGTGTCAGCGAATGTTTACAGGAAACTGTGACTTGGCTGACTATCCACTGAAATCGATACAAATATGAAACAACTACCTGCGGCGCCCTAACTTCGCTGTTTTTCTCTTTCGACGATTGCAAAGAATACGATTCCTTTCGCGCGACTGTCATCTTTTATCTGTGTCTTTTTTAGATCGCGCGAATAGGGTAATTTATGACACCTTTTATGAACTTACCAAGAGCTTCCGCAATCAAGAGGGATTGTTTTCGATGCATGATGACTATTTTCTTGTACTCTCTTTTCTTCAGTCAGATACAGTTGTCAGAATCACCGTTGCCAATCTTCATGTAAATCAGTAAATTGTCGAGAATATCTAAGAAATCAAGTAGACCCCCTACGTCAAAATTTTGTTTGGCTTCCGCGTAAACATCAAACCACAAAGCCCTTGTGAAGAATAACTCAAATTTTAGTAATGATACAATTACTAACAGTAAGCAAGAATGTGACGTACTTCACTTTTAAACAGCATAGCTCGAAAGATGCTAAAAACGTTTTATTTTTTCATCAATAAACAGCGTCTACTTTATTATGGAGCTCCGCTATTCAGACGTTCAGTGAAAACGCAACACACCTGCGAGAAAGCCATTGTTATGTGCGTAACTATCCTAAAGTGCTCTCCAGAATGAAACGCTCGCGCTCTGTCGTTTACTTAAGCGGAGAAAAAAATTGGAATTGAAACAAATTGCAAAGTTTTGGCTAAGTTTTTCGAAATGCTCAAACATGGAAGCCTTTCTCTTCGTCCTTATGATCATGAAATGTGGACGATACAATTGAATATATATAAATTGATTTGCATGGTTTAAAATAAGCAAAGAAGAAAAAAAAAGAAACTGAGCAAAATCCGGCCTTATTATTGAATTCTACTGTTATTTGTGAATGCCAGAACGTAGCAGGTGATAAAACTTAGACTTATTGTTTATAGGCTAAGAACAAGGGAATTCATTTTCTTCATTATCAACATCTCTTCTAAAGTTTTGTCACGATCATTCAAGTTATTTTCGAGACGTAAAAACCAACTCCGATTTAGAGGTGATAAGCTGTAGAGGAAGCAACAATCTCGAAAAGAAGAAAAATGAAACAAATTGCAAAATGTAGGTTAATTTTTTGGTAATGTATGAACCTTCAAACTTCCCTCCTTAAAATTAGTCGCCTACACAATTGAGACGTCCATGAGAGTAAAAATAAAAAGTAATAATTTATGTTTCATGCAAAATTGGCATCCAGTATAATTTATTTAAAAATTTCTTGATTACACCAACATGTACCGTTTCCATGGCAGTAACAGTATATAGTAAACAGACGAAAGAAGTCTCTCCAAAATTGGGTTCGACATTTCTAGATCATCTCTCTTCAGAATCTCGAAGTTTCAGATCTTTCAGTGAAGCGGTCTTGAATGATTTTATATCATTTAATTACAAGTTGAATTGATGCGTGCACAAAATAACAAAAACCGCTCATCTTCGCACACCTGATGCAGGCTTTGATCATGAAAGCCTAACAGTGGCATAAATTTAATTATCATGAGACGTAATAACAGACACCCAGTAGTGTGAATATTATCACGAGGAACGCTCTATTGCGGCATCAAACAGAAAATTGTTTAACTCATCACTTGATGAAACCTCTAATTTTTGTTATCACTCGCCTTTTCTCCTTTAGAACTTTGGAAATTAGAGAGTCAGTGGCATACAAGGGAAGAGCTAGTCTTGACGTTTTGTAAAGCCTCAGCTTATCTACCACTTCCATATATAGTGGCACATTACACTGTTTTTGTTTGCCGTATCGGTCGGTTCCCAATGCATATCGTTTGACACAATGCACAGAAAGGGCCAAACCGTCAATAAATTTCTAAGCTAGAACACTTCAAATAATCACAATAATCATGATCAATAAAAGTAGATAACCAGAAATAATAAATATGTGAAAAAACTGATAATAATCAAAATTTTTAAATGATGCCTCGCTTTAACCTCCTCAATCACGATCTTTTTGCACCATTGGTTGTTGTGTGTACTAACATTCATAGCCACCCTTTTGACTTGTCGTAGGCATTTTAGAAAATCTGAAAACGAGCCAACTAAGTGCTTTACGTTATACGAAATATTCTTCCTGCTTCTTTGTTATTTAAGAAGTCGAAAGTATGTCGTAAAGAAAAGTTCAATTTTTGTTTCAACGTTTGCAAGAGTACCGTGTTAAAAGTCAAGGAACGGAAAAATGGTAAAATTGTAAGTTAAGCCCCTTTCAGTAGGTATGATTAAAACGTGATGGCTAATACTTCGTTCGTTTTTACAAAAATGTTATATCCAAACCTTCATTTACAGGTTGTTTTCTATCTGTTTCTTCAGTTGCAGCGCATTAAATCTAACACGCAAAGCGCCAGGTTGTGCACTTTTTCGTGGTGTAATTAGAGGCGAGCATGAAGAAGAGATATGAAGGGAGATGCTGGACTAAAGGGTAATTTATTAGATCGTAGCTTTCATTCCATTCTAATGTTTGCTTCATACCTATGGATCGTATCATCACAGCATTATACCGTTCCTTTCTTGCAGCCTGCAGTGCAGGTATCTTATTAGGGCGAGTTAACGTTAAGAAGCTCGCGATCGTTTATTCGACCGGCCATGTTTGATTTGAAGTCAGAAGAGAAGGGGGGGGGGGGGGAGAGGAATATTAATTTCCCCACCCCCTCCATTCTCCTTCTTTTTGACCGTCGCTCACCCCCTTGGTACCAATTTCTTTCTTTCCCCAGCCTTCTACTGCTGTAAAATTCAAAGGTGTCAATTAAATCGTACCTCCAATGCCATTATATCATATCTGTATGCCCTTCGATCGAAACTATATATCATGAAAACTGATAATTAATATTCGTATGAATTTTAAGCTCCAGAATTAAACAGATAACCTAATCAAAATCGCAAAAAAATAGTCGTTCATACGGTATTCAACCATGAAGTTTTTACCAAGTAGTAGACAAGAAACTATCCTATGTAGCCTCGCCTTTACGAAGCTTAGTTGCCTCGCCAGCTTGTACGAAGTTCTTTTAGCGGTTGTCAAGCCAAAGTTAAGAAACTTTAGGGCAATTATTACACTCTTTCGTGTACTTGCCACAGTCAGAGGGGAAAAATGAAGATCGAGGAAGTTAAAAGTACCACTAAGACGCAGCGAATAGCCACTCATAGCCACGTGAAGGGACTTGGTTTGGATGAAAATGGCGACGCTCTCACGATGGGTTCTGGCCTCGTGGGTCAAGAAACTGCTCGGGAGGTTTGTGTTGGATGCATTTGGATCAACATTTAGTGTTTTTTTTTTCACTGTTGGACTAAGGAAATGACATAAAATTAGGCAAAAACTTGCAAACTATCATGGCATGCAACCACAGTTGAGGAAAAAAGTTTAATACAGAGTGTGTTAGCTTACATGCATATAAATAACTACAAAGTCGCTCTGGAACTCCGCTTGCTCTTTAGATCCTTGTGGATGAGGAAGATGAGAGAGTACGTGTACTAGTAACGCTGCTCGACCTGCAAATCAGACCTACGCTTTGCACAGTCCCATGAATTTGTGCACATTACATTTGAAATGTTTACTGGAGCTTAAACTCACTTTATCAACTAGCGAGGCTGGCTGCGAAACACTTTCACTGCCTTAGTTACCCGATGAGTGATTCTTCCTTCCAATTGATACATGTATTCTTTCTCTTACCCATTTGCCTAGAGAATCTGGTGTCATAGGGAGATAATAACCTCAGACTTGAAAGTCTCATTACTTATTTGTCAATTAATAAATGTTTGAATATTGTGAGGGGTGTTATGTGTCAATCTCTTTTTGCTAGAAAGGGTCAGTGAACCATCTACATGAATGATATTTTATTTTTTAGATTTAAATACATAGGTGTAATTCAAGTTTCTTTGTGTCTTTTAGGCAGCAGGAGTAGTGGTTGAACTGATTAAATCTAAAAAGATGGCTGGAAGAGCAATCCTTCTAGCTGGTCCCCCAGGAACTGGAAAGGTGGGTTTAAAATACATTATTTAGGGACATATAATGAAGATCAGAATTTTAGGTGGTGCAAGGCAAATGTTTTAAAGTTTATTTCCATTAATGATGGTCCATACATGCAAGACTTTCATCACCTGCAAAGTGCTAAATTTATGAAAGGAATGTTCTTCTGGTGCTGTTTTTCCAAACAAGAGTGGTACATTTTACTTAAAACAAACAAGTGTTTTATAGTTCAGTCAACTACCTCTCGGCATTTTGATTTCTTCGTGATTATATTTCATGGCAGTTAGTCTTGTTTGATTGTACCATTGCAGACTGCATTAGCTCTTGCTATTGCTCAAGACCTGGGTCCAAAGGTTCCATTCTGTCCTATGGTTGGGAGTGAAGTGTACTCTTCTGAAATCAAGAAGACAGAAGTTTTAATGGAGAATTTTAGAAGAGCAATTGGTAAGAACATCACATGAAGAATGTTGGGTGTATGTACACAGATATGTTTAGAATTGTATGTTCCTGTTGTATTAAACCTTTAACTCCCAAGATCTCACCAGTAATTCTCTTTACTGTCAGCCATACAGTTCTTGCGATTTTAGTTATGAGAATGTGGCATTGGATCAACCTATAATCACTTATTGATATTTTTCTTTATTCTTGTCACTTGTCTGCTTGATATTATATTGGTATTGTAAGGAGAAATGCTGTCTTGGTCACTCATGGGAGCTACAGGGTTAAGTGGATTTCTAAGATGAATACATGTAGCTTTGTGGTTGCTTACATTCATGTCAGACAGACCAAGACAGTAAAGTCTGTTCAGAATGATTTTCAATTGAGTTTTTGAAGTAATCCAAGACTGCACTGATTTTGCTTCTCTTTACTATGTTGTGATTTGTGTAAAAAATATTTATACTGTTTCTCTTCTCAGCCAATCATATGCATAACTAACATTATCTGACTTGGTTACTGAGATAAGTGAGACTGTTAATTGAGATCCGCCTAAGTGTACCATAGAGGCATATTTTTTATTTCTTTTTCATGAACAGGCTTGAGGATCAAGGAAACAAAGGAAGTTTATGAAGGAGAGGTGAACTATTTACCTGATTTAGCATTGTTCTAAGGTTGTCAGTGTCATTGACTGTAGTAATGCACTTATGCTATAGGTGTTCTTCCTAAATGACAAAATGTAAACAAATTGTAATGTACAAAATAATTTTCTAATGGTTTTTGTGACAGGTGACTGAGCTGACACCCTGTGAAACAGAGAATCCTATGGGAGGTAAGTAACATGTGCTAAACTTTACTTTTCATTTGGCTTGATTCCTAGGCAATCAGGCAAGATGATGTAAGTACTGTTTTCTAATTTCCTCCTTACTGGTTACTATGCAATTCTTATAATATTAGTTTGAGGAATTTGGTTTTGGATCAATTAATAATCCCCTAATTGACATTTTCTTTATTCTCATCACTTGTCTGCTTGATATTGTATAGATATTTTAAGGAAAAATTCTGTCCCGGTCACTCATGGGAGTGGGATAAGGGATAGGTGAATAGGCAAGTTGGGTCAATTTTGCCAGCTCTGATGGCACAGATAACTCTTCTGCATTCTTTCATCTTCCAAATATGCAGACAGTGATGGAGATAAGAACTTTTTCCTGCTGAATGTGATTGTTTTTGGCAGAAAATCAATACATGGTCCTGAAAAGTGTTTTATCTTTTTACAGGTTATGGTAAAACTGTCAGTCATGTGGTGATAGGACTAAAAACAGCCAAAGGAACTAAGCAGCTTAAGGCAAGTTCAGCTGAGAAACATGTCATCCTTCTCTTATTCCTTTATTTTTTTATTGTTCCCTATTCAATTTCTTTCCTTTTTTTGATTATCACATTCTCTTTTCATTATTTCTTTACCAATTTATTGTAGCTGGATCCATCAATATATGAAAGCCTTCAGAAGGAAAAGGTAGAAGTCGGTGATGTGATTTACATTGAGGCAAACAGTGGAGCAGTTAAGGTTTGAGAAGCTTACACCTCTCTTTGACATTTGCATTGTGTATTTTTTGATTTCCCAGAATGTTAGAATATTATTTTCTCCATATGAATATTTTCCTATTAATAAATGTTTTTTTACATTAATACTTGGCTAGTTTTACTGTCCAGAATTGAGTCAAATTGGTTGCTGAGTGGGTAGAAATGATTTTGGTGATAAATTTTTTTTTCATGGTTGCACAAATGTATTTCATTAAAATTTCTTGATTATGCTCACTCTTAACAAATTAAAGAGTGTTGAATTTATTTGTATGTTAGTAGGGGGAGGAAAGTAACAGTTTTATAAGATTCTTTTACAGGTACATGTATCTCACATGAGTCTATTTTAACCTTGAGTGATTTATAATGAACTTTTTGATCCCAGCGTCAAGGGAGATCTGACACGTTTGCCACAGAATTTGATCTTGAGGCTGAGGAGTATGTACCACTACCCAAAGGTGATGTCCACAAGAAGAAGGAAATTGTGCAGGATGTAACTCTGCATGACCTTGATGTGGCAAATGCAAGACCACAGGTAAAGTGTAAATAGAAACTCACACATGCACAGTGTAACCTGAATGTTAATCTGTGTACTGAGAGGGGACAACTTTAAACACTGTTGGTAAAGAGGAAATGATTCAATGGGCCTTTGTGGACACGGTTTTACCTTCAAGGAAAAGTACAGCACATGTATGCTTCAGAGAGTATTTACAATTGTAGGTCAAATTTTAACTTTTTATAAAAAAAATAGACATCAAATTTAGCCATTTACATGTGCATGTACCTTTAATTTGTAACTTTTATTTCTATGAACATTGTAAACAAGGAGGAGAGCTTTAATTGTATAAAGGTAATTTTTTTCTCGATTTAAAGAAGAAATCTAATGCTCCCTTCATCAATTATAAACTGACCTCACATACTTTTGAGCATGCGCAGAAATGACCATATACTGTACATATAAGATCCAAGTTTTGCTTCCTGAGCTTAAGTCTCTAATAATTCGAAATGATTATTGAATAATTAATGTTCGTAGGGAGGACAAGATATTCTTTCCATGATGGGACAGCTGATGAAGCCTAAGAAGACAGAAATCACTGGTGAGGCATATTATACAGTGTTTGCAAATTTTTTAAAATTTTTTAAAATTTTTTTGTTTTAATATTTTTTTAGGTTACATATGTATAATTATAAAATAATTCAAATAGTACGCGCGCTCTGATTGGCCATAAAACCATTTTACTTGGGAGGTTGGGAGAACATTCGATAAGCTGGAAACCACTCCGCTTCGCGTTGTGGTTTCCTACGCTTATCTCGTGTTCTCCCAACCTCCCGCGTGTTTACATCAGGCTATGTAAACACGGAAACTATTTTACATTTCTTAACTTTTTAAATTTCTTTCTGTAACACTTTTTTTGCTTTTTTCCTCAGACAAATTAAGAAAAGAGATTAATAAGGTAAGCAGAATAAAGCTGGTATGAACAGAGGATCACTGCACTTATGCAAGCTTCATTTTTATGTCAATTTGACTTGTGTTTCTCCTACTCAAAGACGAGTTCAGTGACTCAAGTTTTCAATTTTTTTTTTATATTACAATCAGCAGATGAAAATAAATATTTTTCCAAAGTTCTTAGAAATGTATGAAGGAGAGTCGGAGGCAACTTAAATTATCGCAAGATAATGGTGGTATTTGATTGGTAATTAGTTAATTCATCTGTGTTGTAGGTGGTAAATAAATACATCGATCAAGGGGTCGCTGAACTCGTTCCTGGCGTGTTGTTCGTCGATGAGGTAATTTCGTATTTTTCCTTGTTTTTGATGGTGTACAGCGCATGATAGTCAGTGTTGTGCCGCTGTTCCTGTACGTGTATACGTGTGACTCTTGGTTTGTTTATGCATGTACATGTATGCAACGTGTACATTTTTGACATCGCTCGTTTTTTCTTCTGTTGTCAGGTTCACATGTTGGATATCGAATGCTTTACTTATTTACACCGAGCTTTAGAGTCGACAATTTCCCCGATTGTTATATTTGCAACAAATCGAGGAAACTGCACAATAAGGTACTATAATAACAAAGAGTTCATATGAAATAAATCATATTTAGAGGTGCTGTATACCACAGAAAATATTAGCACAGTTATAATGGGCACAGGAAACGTAATTGATATTTTCAAGCTTGTCTCTTTTGCTGCCAATGCGAATCTTTCTGTGAGTGTTACCTGCGGTGAGAGCTCAGACTGTTAGGTGTATTTTGATCCTCCACTCCCAAAATTGCCTGTCTCCTTGAAATTTTAACTGTTCCCTTAATTGTTCTGTTCTTCGGCAAGACACTTCACATTTACTCTCATCATTAGTACAGTGTACCTCTCTTCACTTTGAAGTTTCCGTGAGGCAATTGTCCGGGAAATCTGACCGGGGTGGGGAAGGGGCTATAAGCAATTTAGCATCTCATCCGGATGTGTGCAGACTTTTCTTATGTATTTGTTTGTTCTGTTGCTTCTCAGAGGCACGGAAATAAGTGCTCCCCACGGGATACCCCTGGATCTGTTGGATCGACTTATGATCATCCGTACCCTACCCTACTCACAAGAAGAAATGGTTCAAATTATTCGTATTCGAGCCCAGACGGAGAACATTCAAGCTGATGATGAATCGCTGAGCCTTTTAGGAGAAATCGGCACTAAAACTACTTTGAGGTAAGATTTCGATAGGAACGAGATAGAAATTATGTGTTGAATTCCTGAATAACGGTTAAGTTATGTGCATGTAATCATGCTGGCTGAGAAAACTCGTTGAGTGAAGGTACCAAGAGACTTGGATCACAATGACTTCTTTTTTAATCCACCAGTGCCTCGCTGTATAAACTTCTAGTAACTACAACTACTATTACCACTGATTTAGAAACAGCTACGCGCACATATTCTCATTTGATTGTGTTTTTTTGACTTTGGAGTTGACATCACACTTTTGCTCTATGTGAGATTGAGGCACATTTGACCGTGTATTAAACAATCTGAAGCACTAACGGCTAATTTGGAGATTGATTAATTTAGAGATTAAGAAAACACTCTCAGATGTGAACCTTGCGCTCTTAAAAATTCCTAAAGTTTCATGCGAATGAAATGATTAAAAAAGCGAATCTATAAAACAATCGAATTCTAGAACGTATCTGAACTTACCCAAACATTGTCTTGGGTTTGTGTGGAAGCTTCAGTAAAAGCTAAAGATCTGTTGAAACCACCAAGAAACGTTGAAATAAATATCTGAAGTGGAAAGGAAATCGACATGTCCGGGGAAGCAGTATACGTGTAGTAGTGTTGAAAGGAAGAGAAGAATTAAGCTTTGAAATAGACTCTTCAGAATAGAATACCACTTAAAGGCGAAGTGTTAGTTCAAAGAGAATGATCTACAAGACAGCTTATTACATGTATCAAAGTTTTTCAAATAAACAAGATTTGAAGGAGTTGCTCTCCTTTTCGTTTTGATCATCAGATATGCAGTTCAGTTGCTGACGCCGTCTAACCTACTCGCTCGCATCAATGGTAAGTCCATATTACAGGATGGATTGATAATGGATAATTAACTGAATGAATAAATAAATGAGACGTCCTTTTTTTTCGTTTTTCATTCGAATGGAGGCAAGCGCGAGACAAGTGCGAAGAGTGGGAAGAGAGCTGTTTTTTGTTCCTTCCTTAGCGCGTCACTCGCGCTTCGCACCCGCCTCGCGTTTGCCTTAGGTCGCCTGAGCAACGCAAACATGCTACGCTTGTTCTGCAGGCAAGATTGACCCCTGCAGTGTTGCAAAAGTCAGTTAAGAGCACCTCACGTTCCTTACGCCTTTTTAAATGTGTTGTTGGCTTCACGGTAGCTGTATGGTACGGTATCCTGGGTTCTGGATCGAAACTGGTGTCGAGAGGCCGCTATTTTGTGTCCTTAGTTGTAACGCTTTCCTCTCAGAACGCTTCTCTTAACATAACTACCGTAGGTCCCACTAAAATTTCAGGGATATCTGATGAAATGCTGAGCGTTCACCTGTAATAGATTAGCCTGAGGAAGTAGTGGTACTCGTAGTAGTTTGGTGCCAAGAAACCTGGGACACGCTACGTCTATCAAGGGGTTGCTGTGTTCGTAACACTTAACCTTCCGTTTTTGTGTCACACAGGTCGTTCAAGTATCAACAGACAGGATGTGGAAGAAATAAACGAGCTATTTTACGACGCCAAATCTTCAGCAAAACTTTTGGCAGAGCACGAGGACAAGTACATGAAGTAAAGACACTGAACCTGAGCCGTATCGCCAAGAGAGATGTTCTTTCCTCGTAATGTTACTTTTAGTTACGTGTTAAAGCACTGTCAAGTCAGTTGTGGTAACTATTTATAACTGTCACAGTATAAGCGTTTGTATTTTATGGATAGTGTGTTTTTGCATAAAAAGAAATACCGGTAGTTTTAAAGTCGCCATTTTGAGGTGTGTTGGGTCTTTTCCTGGAAAGGTCGGAACTTTGACGCTTCCTCCCCTCCTTAGTCACGACGAGATTACCTCTGGGGGAGTAAAAAAATGATAGCTGCGCACGTTAGCTAGGAAGAGGTTTGCAAAGAGTTTATAAGTGATGCGTGTTTGAGGCCAAAATAGACATGTGAAGCGTGGATTGAACGGGAGCGCGAACGTGATTTTGAAGTTATGGACCTGCGCGAGGGGTGTTTGCCTCCTGAAATATAAGTGAACTGCGAATATTATCTTTCATTTCGTGAAAACCTCAAGATTTCCCTGAAAACTCATACACAAGATGAGAGAGTTTCAGATTTCCCTGTTAAATTCGTGACGCGTGAAGTGCGCGTGAAGTGTTTTTAAAAAATTAGTGAAACTTGATCAGAACCCCCCACCACCCCTCCCTGTTTGCTTCCCCCTAGAATGTTGCAGATCAAACTAATCTTCTGACGCTAGGCATTTACTCTTACAACTTATAGCTCTTAGTACACAATTATATTTTCGTTCAAGGCTGATAAAGTATTCCTCTCCACAATGCTATCGACTTGGGAAACCCAGCATCAACTTGTCCCGCTGTAGAATTAAAACTGTAAAAGAGGTTTTCCTTGAAGAAGTATGTGTCGCCATTTTTATCTGAAAACACGGTATCGGGGTCATTCGGGACGCCTCTCCAAGTCGAGGCTATGAGCCGCGGGAAGCCTGGGTCTACTTCTTGGGAGGTGTCATTGAAGCGGAAGTAATTCGAGTCTTTGAAGAAGTATGTGACACCATCTATGTATCTAAAACAAATGAAAGGATTTCCAGTTCAGGATCAAAATCGAAATTTCTCGCTCTGCATATCCGAGTATGCAGTAGTTGATTCGTTTTATTCGGGACGCGTAGGAAAATCTCCAAAGTAAAGGAATCTACAAGTTTTATGTTGATAAGATGAAAATACACTCAAATATATATATTAAACCGAAACGCAACTTGTTAAGTTCAGTATGGAGAGTAATCAATAAGATTATAAATGACCCCTGCGCTAAACTTAAGCTAGCATTTTCTAAGAGAGGTCGAGGTCCGGCTAAGACTCTTCAAGTACTACGGACAACTTCCCTTGCGATATAGTTACGTTTAATTAGGTGTCGAAAAGTAGTGTTGGATCGCACTTGGCTTCGCTTCATTGGAGCGGTTTTTCAATTGCGTGTCGTAAAACCAAAGTATACATATCGACCAATCAGAACAAAGTTTTGCATTTTCATTAACTAATAAGAACTCAAAATGAAAGCAAGCTGCTTCAAACGCGGGAAAATGCGACTGCTCAAGTCGTGATTGTTTTTTAAATTTTGCATCTGATTGGTTGATAGGGCCGGTGCGAGTTTTCTTGACCAATCGCATAGAAAAGTTAACTAAAACCAACGCAATCCCGGATTAAGCTCGACACTCAATTGAAATTGCTCTAAGCCAAGTGATTTGTCTAATCAAATGCTGAACTGATCAAGAAACGAAAAGTGAGTGCGTATGCGTGCGCTTGAGTGTGCGCTTGTATTTACTTGACCACTCATAGGACAGGATATCCGCACAGAGATCCTTTCAAAGAATCAGCTGATAGAATCTCGTGACTCGCTCTGGTGTCATTACCTGAAAACGGCGTCGACATTGTTGGGTAATCCTTTCCAAAACGAGCTTATTTCTCGTGGATACCCATCTTGGACTTTCCGTTGGCCACTATCATACCGGAAGAAAAGGTTTCCCTTAAAGAAGTACACGTATCCATCACTCCATAGAAATGCGGCGTCCACATCTGCTGGCACTCCTTCCCAGGCTGCCAAGCCGCGTGGATATCCGATATCGACCTGGCTAAACTGTTCATTGTAGCGCCAATAGCTGTTTCCTTTGAAGAAGAAAGTGTAGCCGTTCAAGTGTCTGAGAGAGGTAAAGGAATTAAATAATAAGTTTAGTTACAAGGGATTTGCATTACGAGTCTATTACAAATTTATTACAAGTTCATTGCAATATAAATCATAACGCAAATGTTATACAAACATGAGAAGCCGATTGTTCAAGATATTTTTTAATTAGAGAGACTGACCTGAACACTGTGTAGTGAGTAAAGTCTGGTTCACTGCTCCACCACTGAGTTATTGACTCAGGGTAACTGGAAGGAACACTTATTGATTGCTCGCTGTGCACGAATAACCAGTGCTGCGTATCCTTAAACGCGAAAACGCCCCCATTGTACCATTGTAAGGCGCCTTCAATGTCGCTCGGGAGTCCATTCCAGTAGGAGCTCACAGAGCGCGGATACCCAGGGTCCACTCTGAGGGTGCGTGGGTTAAATCTGTAATATTGTGCTCCTTTGAAGAAGTAGGTGAAACCATTCGAATGACTAAAATGATTAAGTAAACAAACGAACAAATGAACAATTGAACAAAGTCGCAAAATGTAGATTGAAATATTGAGAGGCCAACCCATATGACATGAAGGTCATTTAAAAAGTGCACCGTATTGAGATGGATGGCTTGAGTAAAATGACAAATAATTACCTAAATTAAAAAAAAAAAAATCCGAGAGTTGAAGTCTCTCCAACTACAGAAGTTGAGCCATAAAGATTTGTTGTTACTCTTCATTCTAGGTTTAGTTTGTTAGGTTGATACTCAAAGATTTGTACATGAGGCGCAAACGTACCCAAATGCGGGTAAAATCAGGGTTTACCATGATATGCAAGCTTCTGTAATGCATACAAAATTTTTTTTCCGAGGAACTCGCCTTGGAAATTGCTGAAAAAATTTGAATTGTAACTGAAAATATCTTACCTAATGACGTCATCTATATCGCTCGGCACTCCAACCCAGTAGTCGCTCATAAGTCGGGGATATCCTTCGTCCACCTTCAGTGATGTGTCGTTAAACCGATAGTACTGGTTTCCTTTGAAGAAGTACGTGAGGCCATTTGCGTAACGAAAAACGCCGTTTATGGAGGAAGGGACGCCCTTCCAATGGTCGCTGATAGGTCGAGGGTAGCTTGAATCGATACCAGGAAGATTCTCATTGTAACGGTAGTAGTTTGATCCGAGGAAGAAATAAATATAGCCGTTTGACCAGCGGAATGCAGCATCGATTTTACAAGGTCCTTGAGAATGAGTAAAATCAAGTTTTGTAAGAGCTACTCTAGAGTCTTGATTTAATTAAGTGGTCTAAGTTGCAGACTTTGAAGTTTTTCTTGTGGCGCGTTTTAGCCGTGAAGGTCAAGATCTTAACTCTCCTAATGCCTCTCCCTACTCACGAGAGTAAACGATTTTCAGAAAAATTTGGTAATTTTATCAGAGTAGGGAGAGGTGTAAAAATTGTGATCGGCAAACATCCCATCTGTCAGAATCACAGAACAATAAGGTGTGAAAACATTGAATGCTCCAACCACAGCTTATTACAACAAATCATAATGCTTTGAAATACCACATATTGTCATGCAGTCTGAAAGTTAAGCAATACATCGGGCCCTGGTTGTTCGAAGGTTGGATAACACTATCCACTGGATAAAACTCTATCTGGTGGATAACGCTATCCGTTTTGCTATTACTTATCCGCTGGATAGCGATTTATCCGTTGCATAGCGTTATCCGCCCTTTATACAACCGGGCCCATGTGCACAGTTGACTGCGTAATGAGAAAAATAGTTTATGTGATGCTTTATTTAGACGATAGCTTGAGAGAGTGCATGAAATCATAAGCAGATTGGAACTTAAAGAGTAAGAACGAGACAGAAACAAAATTAAACCACTGAAACTTACTATAGATGTTTTTCATCAGGGTAGGTCTGTATTTCTTGACATCTTTTTCCATTTTAGATATCTGCCCCGGAGTAAATTCATACATGCATTTGTCCTCCATGTCTTGAAAACAAATACAGTGCAACCGTAAGCAATCAATTTTTGAAATAACGCAAAAACCATTTTACCTGCATATGAGGCTTATTATTATAATTTTTTATGTTATTATTATTGTTATTATTATTATTGAGGTTTCTTTATCTACCATGTTAACCGCATATGAAGCCATTTTAATAAGAGTTTTACTGCTATCAATATCACGAAAAAAAGCCGTTGTTTTTTGAAAGAACTTTTTTAAAGAACGAAACATTCTTCTGATTTGTATTTTAAAATGGTAGAAAAAAGACCTTACGTAACTCACTTTCGATTACACTCTCGATTCAATTACTAGCTCTTTATATGCCAACATCAATAGAAATATTCTCCATTCTGTCTCTATGTATTACAATAATACTGATGTAGAGAATTTGTTGAACAATCAAGAGCTTCTTTTGTTTCATTTCTTTTGTTCTCATGACCTTAACTTGGTTTGATTGAGGTGTGATGCCTGAAAGCGGGGTTAGGTGCTCATCACCCCAACAGGTTCAAGAGCTAAACGTATCCTCTTATCCTACACACAAGTAAATGACTGAACGAAAAAAATGTAAATGTAAATATAATTAAGATGGGGGTTTTAATCCTCAACCGTGTCGCGAATCTAACTAATTCTTTGTTTTGATCAAAAGAGCTCAAGAGTTCAGCTTTCGAGAATGATACGTACATCCCATATAATTATGAATTGGATCCAGTCCACTGATAGATTTACAGGTATCCACTGGTTGGTCTGTGCAGATATAAGTATAATCAGCGCAGCGCGGAGTGTCGGCGACCTCATCATCGTCTCTATCGAAACAACCTCCCTGTCCAGTTCAAAGTGTTTTACGATCAGATGAGCGTGGAAGTAGGCAAAGTAAACTGGAGCAAGCAAAGAAATCATCCTCCCGTTTAGGCAGTACAAAAAGGCCCGGAAAAATGAAGTATGGAAAAATGAAGCTTAGAAAAATTCAGGCTTTGACCGGATTCAAATCCGTGCTCCTCAGAAACTAGGAATTAAAATGTTATTTGTTTGAAGTCTTGCTTACTGAAAAAAAAATCTCAGGAACTTATCAGAAGAAAAATTGAAAAATAGCGTCGGTGGGAGAGTAAAAAAGTGTTGTGCTGTTTTCCTGTTTTCATAAGCAGGAATCTTTCTTTTTGATTTCTGGTCTATTATTAGGAAATAATTCTATAATAATCCAGAAATACTATTGCTGTTAACAAGTGAATAACGCTTGAGCTTTTATATTACATACCTCACAAACGTGAAAGAGACCGAAATAATGACCAACCTGTAAAGATGCATTCAAACGGTTATCTGATTTAGCAAAAAATCTTCACTATTACAATAGTGTTCAGTAATTTCATGCCAAAGTATATCTAGCCTAAAACTTCACCAGAGAAATGCTTAGGGTCTTAACAAAAACCGTGAAGGTGTCCCACCTTATCGAGTTTATCGTACTTATTTGAATTCGATGGTTAAGCGGCAATTTCACATAACTTGATCAGAGAATGAGACCTGAACCAGGCTTCTTTTGCTCACTTTATTCCCATGCTCATTCATGATAGTGTTGTAACAAATTCTCCCGAAAAATCCTAAACGGTTGATTAGCGATCAAAATTTCTACGTATGACCTTAAGTAGGCACTGATACCCTGGAGGTACTTTTACTCAAGGGTGCTCTCCAGCCGAAGGATGCTGTGTTTTCATTTTTGTCTTTGACATATGAAAGGAACTGATACCGGGTTTACGCGATATAAACGTTGGTTTCCATCTCAAATTTTACTCGAGGGAGTTGTCACCCGTATTTCATTTGATTGAGGAGCTTTTGAGAGTGCCTTGGTCTTATCCAACTACGTTCTGTGATAAGTTGAGTAACTGACGTGGCATTTACACAACCAGTAAAAAAAATCGCAAGTTTGTCACTAGCACTTGAATCCGTTTATATGTGTCCAACGTAGATTCCCACTGACAACTTACATATGTCACAAGAGACTATAATATCTTGCCTCTCATGGTTAGTGGTAGAAATAACTCTGATTTTGGTTGCACGAAACTCAACTGAGAAGTTCTCTCTCTCTCTTTTTTTTATTTTGATAAGTTTACCTCGTGAACAGCATTGTCTCCAAGATTTAGTGTTCGCATCGCTCCTCCGGGTAATGTCTCGTAGTGAATTGCCACGCCGTGTGATAAGCCAGACTCTAAGTCACTCCAGGGAAACGATGCATCGCCAAGTAAGAGGGGATCCTTGAACTGGCACGTGTATATGTTGAGCGTTGATGCAGGCAAAATACCCAGACCTCTTCTGATAAAAAACCTTTGGCCCTTGCAGTTATTGAACCATTCCTCGTTATTTGTTCTGTCAACTGAACGCTGGAGATAAAAAAAAAAGCAGTTAGGCATAAGCTGAGCGGAATGAAGATATTTTGTTGTCATCTTGCATAAGTGGTAAGCGATTTTTCTTAACGATGGTAACAAAATATGGATAGTCATTAAGATTGTATAAAGGCGACTCAGAACATTTAGCGCTCTGTGATTTTGACTGATAGTAGTTAAGAGAGCGAGAAATTGTAAGTTAGGAGACTGAATCCAAAATGTTGGCCATATTTTAATGGTAAACAGTCCTATCATCCAGTAGGTGTTCTCAAAAAGCTTGCCCACGAGCACCCGACTTCGAGTCTCCGCCGTAATCTGGTGCCATAACAAATAGGCTTATCAGTCGTCGATGTTTAATGATAAAGAAATGTAAATAAATTATCAAACTATGCATAGTCATTTTTTATCGTCTATTCATAGTTCCTGGGAAAGCACCAATCAGAATAGAATTCAACACATTGATATCATTAACTATCAACGCACCGTTGCAAATCGGAATGGTGAGTCCGAGAAAGCCTCTGAAAAATAAACAAAGCCGACTATTAGTGGGAGAATTTCACTGAAAGATTTATTAATTTAGAGAAGTTTTCGGTTTGGACATGTTCAGACAACAGCAATCAAAGCAATCACAACAGTCAAACGAAGCGAAGTTGGACATCACCATTAGCCAACGAAAATTCAAAGTAAAACAGGCCAGCTGCATGGCATGAAGGAGATGGGGAGGGGAAGGGAGGGGAGGGGGAGGAGGAAAGCGACCAATTCACGATTTCTCGGCAGTTTTGAATTTGATTGGTCGAGAAGGTGGCGCGAGTTGTCCGGACCAACCAGGCAGCGAAGTTAAGCTCTATAGGCCCTGAAAGAAAAGCTGCAGTCACTTATTTGTTTTTATACAAATTTGAGATGCAGTTGTCGTACGAAGGACGTACAAAGGTGTATACGAGAGGCACTCAATTGTAGTCAACAGCGGCCGATCAGACCGACTCATTCATAAGAAGAAGCTCTTAATCGGAAATTTATCGCAAGATTGGCTGAATGTCATCTTATCCTTTACTCTAGTCCGATTTTCCCAAGAATTAAGATGATAAAAAGGACCCATTACTAAAATTCACCACTTTGGATGGGCAATTCTGAAAATGGTAATCGCTCATTCAGTTTTCTTATGTGTGAGACTCACGATTCTTGTGCGCGTCGACCTGCAATTCCTCAAAGAAAGCTAAAAGAGAATTGAGGCAAAGAAAATCTACAAAGATATTTATGGATGAATCCAAATTCGTACTGTTTAAAACTTTCACTTGATCTTCCAGCTTGGTCACAGAAACATTTCCTTTCCCACGTGCATCATGGAGAACATGCCAAGCGATAGGCACAAGATACTGTTCCTTGCATTGTAAGTTTTTGTTGAACAAGGCGTTGAAAGCATCCTTATCTTTTCTCTGCAATACGTTCGTCATCAAAATATTTTCGATCTCAGGTATATACTGGGATGACGGTGATTTTGGACGATTTTCTTTGGAATCGTCGACGCCGCATTTTCTCCGCAAATCTGACGTTTTCCCATGGCAACTGAATGTCAAGCAGGTCGCCAAAAGAATGCTGCAAAGAACAGAGGGGATCTGAAGTCACTAAAAACGTTTATGATTCAAAGTAGAACCCCACTAACTCGAACTCTCAAGGAAACGAAAAATGGTTCGAGTAAGCGGGGTTCAAGTCATAGGAATTAGAGTTGAATTCCAATTATTCCGTTGATAATTTACAAGGAATCATGATTTTACTATTCTTGCACAATCAGAAGTAATTTTCCTACATCTAGTCTGCTTAATATAAGTTTTTATTAAAAGAACGTTTAAGTTGGGACGTTAAGCTAACTTTCTTACGTTTTGATGAATGTTATCACGTTCGTATCAATCGCGAATGAAGAGGGTCTCTATGAGGTGACGACGTTTACGGCTAACGGTTAAATTTGGGCCATTTTACGGCTAACAATTAATATCATTCCATTGCTTTCACCACAAATTATTTTGAAGGTTAACTTTTTTTTCGATAAACGGTGGAATTTGTCAATTTTACGCCTAAAGGATAAATCTTTTGGCTGTTTTATGGCTCTCGGTGAACTTCATTGAGACCGGCTCGTTAAAGAGCGGGAAATGTCAATCAGCTACATTCTTACCGACCGACTTTTTTTATTTAAAGCTCAAGTTCTCAGGGTAAATACGAGCCAAGAGAAAGTAAAATTACTTCAAGTAGACCGAGTTCGAGTTAGCTGATAATAACTGACTTGAAAAATGGGGTCAAATCCAAGGGAAATCGGATCTTGTTTGAGTTATCGGGGGTTTCGAGTTAACTAGGCTCGAGATAAGGGAGTTAGGAAGTTCTACAGTAATTGAAAACATAAAGCCTGGAATCTTGTCCACGGCCCGGTCAATAGTGTTCCTTAGCAACAGAATTTTCTGGAAGAATAACCAAGGATATTCTTTGATTTTCGAACTCATCTAACTATCTGTAACGACCGAAAATAACTGATCCGGTTAGCTGAAAAGGAAACATCCAAAACATACTTTACTTCATCTGTTACTGAGAAAACTTGAAGACATACTAACCTCAGTCTCAGACGAATTAGAGTCTTCATAAGGATTTCTAACAAATCGTAGAGCAATAATCCTTTTTTCCTCACGAGGTGGAGGTGACAATGAAATCTGCTGCAAAAGTATTCCAAACGAAATTTAGGGAAAACTGAACTTTGGTAAAATTTTTTTACTTTCCTCCTTCCTAAAGGATCCCACGCGGTTAAAAAGTAAGGAAGGGAGCCATTTTAAATTTTTGAGCAGGATCCAGTGGTGATGTATACCCAGATCAGTTGAAATGGACTTTTATTCGAAAATGTTTCCCTATATATTTGTATGAATTGTTTCTATTCAACGTTTACTTCAAGTGCGACCTCGTTTGAAAGTGTCAATCATTCTCAAGTCGAAAACTTTTCATTAAATGTTATTATCCGAAAATAAGTGCCCACCAGTGACATCAACAATGTACAGTCCATAGATCAAGATATAAATTTCAAATAAATATCATATGCAATGAAACTCGCAGAAACTTCTTATCAGATCTGAAATGAGGAAATTAACAGGATATTTCTTTTCTTGTCACCATGCCACAGGAAGTAGAGTCGAGTAGTTTTAATTTCAATGTCTTTACCGAAGTTCCTATCCCAGAATGTTTGAGCCATTCAATTTGAAAACTCTGTTTATTCAGATGTAATATTTCCCAAGAAAGTGCCACAAGATTTGTAAAAAACTAAGTACTTTATAAAGGGAAGTTATTTCGGAACAGCGTTTCGTGTCAGTCACACACAAAATGTGTTATCGCAGTCACTGAAACTGTGAAGTCTTGTCGGTAAGTAGTTTAAGTAAAAAAAGACATAAACAAACGCAGCTTTCTTTTCTGGAATAACTTTTTATGACGCTTCTTTCTTCAATTGAAAAGTCGCACAAAATTGCTCGTTATGTATCAAGTTATACAATTAAATATAATTAAAAAAAAGAAAAAAAAACAGAATTCCTCCTTTCGTTGTGAGGGGTAAATTTATTTCGTTTCTGCCAATATTGGATTGAGTAGCGATATGAAATGGCTGTGTTGTGTCAGACTAGTAGTCATACTGCTCGAGGGCTTTTCCTTTATTAAAAAACAAATTAAACAAAGAAAGAAACGAAAAGAGACAAAAACAGACAGACGCACAAGTCGCAAAACGTAATTTGCAAAGACCTTTATTTCCTAGACCGCCTTTGTATACTTAAAACAAACAAATATACATGCCTGAAAGTAAATCTTCTAAAATTGATTGGGACATTTCTACTGATTCTTGTTTGATTTTTAACATATATTAACCCCTATACTAAATACATTCTGTTCCTTTTTTAATTCCTTGGTTGAGAGAAAAAGAGCCTTTCAGGCTTCTGTGAATCCTTTAGTGCACGTCATCGCAGACTCCAAATTATCTCCAGCGTCAACAACACATTTCTCGATGGCCTGAAATTCCTCACGGAACTATAAAATAGAGACAATATTGTTAAGGGTCACGCATCTCTCTGAAAAAAGTAAATACCCCGAGATCTTTTGGGAGATTTGCCTGATGGTTGTATAATTTAAGATTGTCATGATGTTTCTCTGGGGACCATTCATCCTCTATCAACTGGGGAGGGGAGGGCCGGGGTTGGAGGACTCTGGTGGGACCACACGGTTTTCAGAACGGCAGTCGTTGCCAAAAACGTATGATGGAAAATAATAATGAAAATTGATTGACAAGTCTCTGCCTATGATGAGGGGCAGGGGGGTGGTGGAACATGAAAATATTCCAGAGCTCCTCCCTTAGGCGAGAACTAATGACTGGGAAATGTTGTTGACAAAGTTGCTGCTCATTCCCAAACAAGATGCAGTTGTAGGCTGTCACTCATATTTGTGAGTTACTGCTTTAGCAATCATTTATGCAAGTATAAAGTCAAAGAATTAAAAATTTCATAAAGAAGAACAAATTTATAAGTTAACAGATAAACAAGTAGGCAAACATTAAGAATTGTGGTTCATTAGATAACTTACTAACTCAGTTTTCCATTTATTCAGTTAAATGAATTCCTTATATATCTATTCTTTCATTTGGTTTTTTTATCCACTAAAAGTAGAAAACAAAATATATGCGGATTTCAAGGTGCCAATATATTCCAAGGTTTGCAGACCAAGCATTTGTTTTACTCCCCTCATCATGGATGTCAAATTGAAGTCTGTGCAATAATTTGGAGTAATTAAACCCCAAAAGTTTACAGAACGTAGCAATAACTTACCGACGGAATACAGGTTTTGTACACATCCTGAAAGCAGTCGCTTATCCCTCTATCGGGATTTTGTTTGCACTGGAGGAAATACGGCTTGCAAATCTGTGTGGATGATTTTTGATAAATCATTCGCTTATAGGATATTTCATATACACGTATAGTTTGATCAAATACAAAAATGCCAGCTGTTAATTTTGGATAAATTATTTATCAGATTACTTCAATGCCACCATTCTGGAAGTGAGACAGCATATCGAGACCATCTTTCGTTATCGATGTTTTCAAGGGTGTTTACAAAATAGCATACAAACTATCGAATATTATATTTTCCAAATCGTTGAAAAGTGTTTAATGCTATGTGAATCCCTCGAATGGACATGGTGGCATAGAAAGCGACCAGATGAAAATTTGAGGAACGAAAAACATTATGCCATGCTCGCACTCTTCTCGTTCTTGAGTCACTCGAGATGTTCCGAAAGGTTTCCATATTGCTCGAACCCACGGCTCGTGCTCTCAACTTTCAAAACGTCCCTCGTGCGCAAAAATTCCAGAACGTACTCGTAATCGTGCACTTACACGTATGTACACAAATTCAATCGACATTGATTACAAATAATTTAAAGGGACAAAGAGAAAAACTCATGTGTTATAATAAACTTCCTCTTCAGAATATAATTTTTCAGTCTTCATCAGTATTTTATTTTTGCACTTCAGTTTAAAATTTTGAATTGTCATTTCCATAGAGAAAACTGTCAAATTATATCGGCGGCTACGATCCAAAATTGTTGAGCTGAGACGGTTAGAATGTAACATTGCAGCTGGTATAATGAAAGACGATAACACACACCAAAGAGAGAAAAAAGATATATATGTCTGAGTAAAAACACCCTCACCTGGGCAGCCGCTTTGTAAATGTAATCAGGATTCTTCTTTGCTTTGGCTTGAAACATCACGGACAAAATAAGTATTAACACCAGGCTCTTCATTTTGTCGGAAAATTCTGTAAAAATTTGAACAAGTAGGCGAGGAGTAAACCGAAGGACTGATTAAGATATGCAAAACGGGAAGACAAAGCATCACCTCGTAATCAAGTCAATAATTAATTCAGTTTACTTTTAACCCTAAAATTATAGCCAATAAACTTTGCCTAAATAAATCAATTCAGTGCTCCATAGGTTCCTTGGCCAAATAGCAGACAGATCGGATAAGCTCCAGGATGAAATGTTTTCTGAAATCACGTTCCTAAGATAAGAACTAATTATGGGAAATTCATTACCCAAATTCATGGCCCTGTGATTTGGAATTCAATAAATGAAGATATCAAAAGCTCAACCTCATCCTCTTTCAAGCGCAAATTAAAGTATCAACTTCTCATCTCACCCTCAATATTTCTAGCAGTATGTGCGCTGTCTACTAATTTTTTCTAAACTTCATTTACATACTTTACACATCGTAAGCTCTTTGTTTCAACTATACCGGCCATAAACTGCAAAATTACATAATTAAGAGGCAACTTGAGATTTTTACCCAACTAAGGTTAGCGATTGGGCTCTGACGAAGGGCTAACGCTCGAAACGTCAGCTTTTTTATTTTTTATGATGGCAAATTTACGTTTTCAACTCAGTTGTTAACACTAAATTACCTGCTATACACTCTCCCATCGACGCAGGACCACAGTTTTTTTAGAAACTTACCCGCTTTAAGGTTATTTTGGGCCGTCAGTTACCACCTTACTTTCATAATTTTAAAATACTGTGACATTTTTAACTGTAGTAAAGGTAAGGGATAAATAAAGTTCGTTCAGTAAAGTAAATGCATTGAACCCAGGAGTATCAGTAGTTCGTGTAGTGTGATCGCCCGGGTGAGTGTAGTTCTGAAAAGAACTGTTGTTGTCACCAACAACAGTTTTATTCAGAACTACACTCACCCGGACGATCACACTACACGAACCAAAGTTCGTTCAGTTGTTGAATTGATTGTGCTAGTTTTTTCATCGGACATGCAAGGAGAATATCGAAAGCATTACAAGCACGTAACACGGAACACAAACGATGTCTGTGGTAGAAAAAATTAAGTGTTCGAAATGCTCCCCTACGACTTCGTTGCCGATAACAATTATTTGTTGATCTTCCTTGCCGCCGACAAAGGATACCGCTGCGTTAAAGATTCAGTAGGGAGTTGAAGAAAACCACGACGGCAACGGCAACAGAACGTCAATAAATAGAAGGTTGAATGAGCAGAACGATGGCTGTGCACGTGCGTTGTAAATCTTTGTAAATTTCTTAGCGTCCTGCACAACAACAACGTGAAATGACCAAACTTTGCGTCGTCCGGAGAACGTGAACGACGATGGCTAATTTTGTAAATTTCTATTAACGCTGTGTTCCATACCCAGTTGCGCGAAATAGTTTTGACAGTAAGCAACAAACTAAATGACTTGAGAGTATCGCGAGAATCGGAGGTAAAACCGATAGAAGTTTTTTTTTAATTGACGTTGCCTACGGCGTCGCCGTCGTCTTTATTTAAACTCCTTACTACTATGGACTTTAAGAAAACCACCAAGGCGACGGCAAAGAGATCGTAGCAAAACAAAAGATCTAATGACAAGAACAAAAGCAAAGCGCGTGCGTTTTAAAACTTTGCACATTTCTTAGCCGTCCTTTTTGTTGGGAAACCTTGACAGCAATTTCGTCACACTTTTACTTAGAAGTCAGCACTACATTCATATGTTATGATGAATGGATAATACGTGTACGCATCAGACTATTGGTTATTGGTGACATCTGAAATCCCGTACTGACCTCCGTACGCAAAGACTTGTTAACTCATTGGTCTCAACCACTTCGACAAACTAAATGCTGGATATGCTTTTTGAAGAGAATTCGAAGCTGATGAAAAGCTTCTTAAATTGAGCCAAGAGTTCCAACAAGACTCAGTTAACTGCAAGAGTCTTCCGACACCGTTAAAAAAATATATTAAAGATAAATGCAGCGCTATTGCAGTATCGCTGAACTCTGTAAATTATGTGGCGTATTTAACGCCAATCTTTATTATTCAACTAATTATTCAACTTTCAGACACTGTTCGAATTCCGATTTTCTGATTGGCTGATTTGCACCTCATGATACAGGGTTGTGACGGAACAACCTCCTTGATGTCATTGTCGTGGGATAACCGTGGTTGAAATTCAACACACCACTGTCATTACACCATGGCTTCGGCTGACTCAAAGTTTCACGATTTGTCAGATGCAGACATTGATTCCCCTATCGATGATGCAATTCCTAAAAACACCAAGAAAGCAACTGCTTGGGAAATATCTGTTTTGAAGGTAACGTTGCGAATTTTAAATTTTTTATTGAACCTAGTTGAGGTGTTTTTGCGTGTTGTCAACAGGTTGGCCAGCTTTGGTGGTTTCAATGCAGTGTTTCTTTGTGCAGTGTATGTAATTTGAATAATAAAAATGTCATGGCTGGTAATAATAAACGATATTGTAATAAATGGTTCAGTGTCGCCATTTACACCTGTTGGAAATTGAACTACAAAAAGCGACACCTCACAGAAATTTTAAAACTGGAAAACGAACAAAAAATTCGATGTCACATCATTCAATTTTCCAGGATTTTAGATGCCTTTTACGCACAATGAAGGGAATAAATTAAAGAAGGGTTCCTTTTTCTTCACTCAAGACAAAACAATTCATTTCCTAAATAAAGATCCTTCAGGTTTGATTCTACGGATTGAAAACCAAACTATGAGTCTTACTGCTTAACTTGAACTTAAAATGTTTTTATCGACATAGCTTAGTTGGTCGGAACATTTTCAAGCGTTGACTGATGTGGTGGGTCGGCTCCTGGCAAAATTATAGCATTAATATCCCCATTTGATGTTAACTTTTCATTTGAATGCGCTGTGCGTCTCCTCAAAACCTATTCTTCTTTCGTCGTTTCCCTTCTCCAGTTTTAATTTCGTAACCAGACTGAGATCAGATTCTAGTTTTTTTGCAGCTAAAGACTAGTACAAATATTATCATGATTTATATCAATGCTTTGTAGGAATTGAAACTGAGGTGACAAAATCGCATCACCTGTTCGACGATTTAGTTTGTTCTCAATGTGTCGGTTACGCAAATTGACCTAGCGAAACAAAATTGGCCTCTGGAAAATATCCAACCGACGACCGAAATAGAAAATCAAGACAAGAAGGAAAATATTAATATATTGACCTCTAAAATTTGGGATGGAAATTGATAGAAACATTTACTGCTTCACTCAGAGACGAAGAGACAAATCTAGATGGTTTTGAAGACTCGAAGCCAGTTTCGCCACTCTTACAAGAGCTTTTTCATGTTCCTTTGCTACGTAAAGCAGACCAAGAAATCATTAGGTCAAACAGATGGCCGAGAAAACTGTTTAGATTTAACAACCTTGCTCTATTTCTTCCCTATCTATAAGTTCTGATAATCTCGGAAAAGTCTCACAAATGTACGTAGAAACTCCTTAATGACGAATTTTACATATCATCTATGGAAGATTTTAACGTTTGACCGAGCGACTAATGTCAGGTTGAATGACGGGTGAAAACCGCAAACATGAGGTAATAAAAAACTGTCTCAAATTTAACGCGTTACTCCGTCAAAATGAACTACTTCTCTGTTCAAACGAAATCTGACAAAGATTAAAATAACACTCAAAACTTTACATGATAAATATTTAACAAGTGTGCTCACCGCTAACCTGTTAACTGCAATTGAAGAAAAGATCTTGGACATACAGAGGAACAGCAGCGAACTGGGGCTCTTCCGGGAGTTGATGATTTTAAAAACGATCAGGTGTATTCAATATGTTTCTGAATGGATTGTATGTGAGCCTCATTAAATTTTATGATTTCACTTAACTGCAGAATCTTCAAGTTAATTGCTATCCGCGGATTCAAAAGCCGAGTAGCAATTAGCAGAACTTCTTTGTTGAAATTCACCATTATGCAACAAGCTGCAGGTATTCTCTATTCTTAAACTAACATGTGCTAGTGGCCTGTCAATCTGTCACAGCCGGTTAATTTGTTTTTATAGAAACAAAAACAAAGACGAAGTTTCTGTTTAAATTATGTTTTAAAAGCGAATAACTTGAATCGCACCGCCTTTTCGCCGGCTGAGGGAGATTTCAATGCGGAAAATATCTCTCAGTGAGTGGTTTTTAGATGAAAAAAACTTTTAATAACCACTTCGGGAGCCCAACTCGCTTTGAAAAGCAGCATTACATTAGGAGATATTTCCTGTTTTTATTCAAGAATGCCGAAGTTTCTAACCTTTTATTCCTACTTCAATTACAGTCCAAGGGAGGTATCTGAACTGAAATCCAATTTTTAAAAAGGATCTGTGAGGCCGCCGTTCAACTTGTCAATCCAATTTTAATAAAAAAGAAGAGATAAGTACGTCAGGAATAAATTAACCTGAAAAGAAATAAATGAAGTGAAGAAATATCTTACTTTGAAGTACCCAATAGATCAGGTGATAAAAACATCAACAATGACCTTAAAGCATACAAGTTAGTTCTAATATATCGTTTCCAAGACATATTCCATTTAATATGAAATGTCGTTGGAGTGATCATCTGTATATGGCAACACTCATATGGGAAACAAAATTGTGGACAGAGCTAGAGATTGCATGTCTTGCCAAACAAAGAAGATAATGGACAGGGTAATTTGGTATTACCAACGAGTTGACAACGTAAATTGGCCACCGTAAAGAGTTTCAAAGCTGACGTTTCGAGCGTGAGCCCTTCGTCATTCGCTCTGACGAAGGGCTAAGGCTCGAAACGTCAGCTGTGGAACTCTTTACAGTAGCCAATTTATGTTATCAACTCGTCGATAATACCAAATTACCCTGTTATACTATCCCACCCACGCTGCACCGCGGTTTCGGTAAAGACTTACTCCCCTTTAAAATAATGGACTGTCTTGTTCTGAGCCCTACACCCGCAATATATATCCATATGAATAAGCATTTTTCTGCTGAGAATTCTTTTTGACGAAGTTGTCACAGTAATTTAACATTTCAATTTCTAGTTTACACATGGAAATGGTCACCAATTGCTACTGTACCCTAAAAATTATCGTTAAATTATCAAAATGCTCCGGCCAAGCTGTAAAGCAGTCGGGATTGCAAGGAGTCTCACTCGCAGCGGTTTTTTGGATGTCATGCAACGTTGTTTCGGGGGAACGTTGCGTGACATCCAAAAAACGGCTGCGAGGGAGACTAGGATTATAGGAGCTTGTTCTCACATAAGATTGGCATGATTGTGATTCTTAGTTAAGATTTAGCATTAAAAGTTCAACACATATGTTTATCTAAGGTAAAAGGGTCATCCTCTCTTTCCTAGTCTTTTGCCTATTGATCGTTTGTGATAAGAGGCTCTTGAATCATGTTACAGTTCACCAATTAGGTTTTCACAGTTAACGATTTAGACCGGGAAGAGACATTCGATCGCACAGACAATTACGTATGATCGTTCGTATGAGCAAAACAATTACAGGTGAAGAGTGGAAGGAAGTTAGAAACCTTGGAAAAACCTCGCGCAAACAATGGCCTAATGCAAGCTGAAATCAGAAGAGAGCATCGATCGAACAAGTCTGTATAAAAGTTTGCTCTTCTCTTATTTTAGTGTGGCCAAGATTTGTGACTGCCATATTTAAAACGCGGATTACGGGATTTAGACTGGCATTAAAATAAACTGAGGAATGAAAATGAAAGGAACAGAAAGAAAAAAAAAACAGAAACTCAAACATAACATTTTTAAAACCAGCATTGCTTTTTGACTTATACACGGTATACTGAATTTTTCAAAAGAGCAGCATCTTCATTTTGCAATTTAGAATTTTATTCTTTGACCGTGGGCCAACATGCAATGATGCTCAATTATATTGACAATAATTACGTGTTTTCCGAGAGTGAGGAAGTTACAAAATATTCTTATTCTTCTAAGCGGTATAGCTTATCACAGTATCAAATGATTAAAATAAAATCAAGTTAATTCAGCTGGAAGTTGCTTCGTCACATCCGCTGGTGCGTGTGCTTTTAAAATTATTCATTAATCTTTTCGAAATCCGGATCAAACTGCTCAAGTCAGGTCATCGGACTAATTAATGCTTATTCCGTAAAGAGGATAAATTTACTTTCCGACAAATGTTACTGCAGTCTTGAAAAGTGTTTCAAAATTTATGTATCACAATTTGAAAGAAGCACTTTCATTGAGATCCTCAAAAACAAACAGCCACGCGTCGATGAGTGCAAGCAAGTGCTACAAACTTGTTTACACGTGTCCTGCCTTTTAATGAGAGAAAATATATACAAATGCGACGGATGAACTGTGAAGAATATTTAAGACTTCCTCGTCGCTTTCTATGACAATTGTACGCTTTTTGCGAGACCCGTGGATGTTTACTACTAGGCCGTCGAAGATTAAAAATTGTTAATAAGAAATACTACTGCCGATACAATCACTTCGGATGTTTACATTCAATGCGGAAGGTTAGTTTTTTTTTTAAAGTTTGTTTGTCTCTAACAAGGGAATCTAATTAATGATGCTACTGCTTCACTTACTTTAGCAGAAGCTAAATCTTTGGTTAGACGGTGTGAATCTACGGAATTCGGCTGACAAAACAATGCAAGCAGTGAATTTCTGGCAAGGTGGATCATCATTATAACGATTCGAACGGGGAACAGTAATTCAAGTTGCCTCATTTTCTCACAACAGTTTGAAGTTTGGGGCTTTTATAGCAACTTCGTAATTTCTTAATCCTTTATATGTCTAAAACCTTCTCGATTAAGACTAGATTATTTACGATTCATTAACATTTATTCGTATATATGGCTTCCTGTTTTATTTTCTTAATTTTCATCCTCAAAGATCCCTAAATTAGATCTAAATTTAATCATATATATTGTATGTGTTCAGTTTGCACCTAGTCGATGGAAACAGACTGGTAATCAATCTTAACACATCCCACTCCGAGGCGGGTCTACTCTCAGCACATTAACTTCTATATGAAGTTATAATTATTTCCATTTGAATCACATCCGGTATAATTTTATCCACAGACTTATATAGTTATTTCTTTTCTTAGACACTTAACGAATCCAAATTTATATAGATATTTTAATTAATATAGTATTAATTACTTAAATATTGTACAATTTGTTGTAAATTAGTATCAGGCAGGTCCACATCAGCTTCGGCTGCGTGACTCTTAACCTGCATTACCAAATAAGTTATGTTGTTATAAATCTAGACTTTCACTCAAAAAAACGAGCACTGTGGTTGGTTGATTCTTGGTCACGTGCCCCTAATCAAATTCAAATGTATCCCAACCAGGATTCAAACAAAAAAAAAGTTTTTCTTCTAAGTTATCATGATGCGCTGATCTCAGCTATTAGGATATTTATACAAGAAAAATTGGTTTTTTATTAACCACGCGTCCGCGAGAAGCCATCGTCAAAAGAGATGGCAAGAAGTTTACTGTCTTCTGTAGTGTCGCGGCAAGAACGAAAAAATCATATCGCAACACAAAATTATTTGTTTCAAAAGGCATTCTCTTTTCTTTACTGTATGATGCGCCTAATAATCTCTCGTGAAAATGTCGAATTTCGAAGATTATGCAAAACGAACAAACAGTAGCATCGGGTCAAAATCGGGTGAAGCTCGGTAATCTATCGTTACACTTCCTCAATCACCCTTACGTATTGACGACGTATGTAGCAGTAACCACAAAAAAAAACCATCTGAACAATCTTAAATATAAGAGTGACTAATACTGAGCAGTAATCTTGCTTTCATCATTTACGCACATCCAATGGATTTTAATTCATTCTGTGGTTGAAAGGTCACCTCTCTGACCTGATTGACGCTAAGCTTGTGTTCTGCTTGGTTGATGGTGTGTCGTGTTTCTACTCAGTCCACATTGTTCGTCGAATGCAAATACTAGAGGAAAAGTACACACACTATTAAAAATAAGTATTATATTATATTGTTTCTGTGGTTACAAATTGCATCCTCCTTTGCTGAGACGGAGTTTGTGTCCAAGGAAAAATGATGTGTTCATTTCCGCACTTTTTCGTAAAAGGCAAATATTACCTGACAAGGAATAACAAATATAGGTACAATAATTAAGTAATTCTATGACCAAATGCTTTTATCTACACAGGAAAAACTTGAATAGATGCCTAAGAATCTATGGCCCTTTATCCGCTTCGAAAAAGCGCAGGGTGTAAGGAAAACCGCTGAGTCAAGTGCACGAGTGCACTTATTTATATTGCGTTGCTTAAAACAGCTGCGACGATACGTCAACGCAATCATTTTGATACAACTGTTGAATAAGGCAAGGCTTCGAAGTTTTGAAGTAGAAAGAAGGAAATACATCACCTTTGGAATCAGCCGAGTTTCTTCAAGGTAAATGTACTTTCCAGTGAATGGTTTGAGAACTGATGGAGGCGCAAATTTCAATTAAATTCTGCAAAATTTCTAGTACATCCGGTGGAGTGTAAAACCCTTTTGAAGCGTGTTCATGAGCATGTTTTGAGTAAGTGAGGCGAAAAAATAATAAGCTGTTCTGTTTGTTTACACGTTTCTCTACGCAGGAGACAGCAGGAATTATGTTCACGAAAATCTCAGCATTCGGCGCCTTGATCCTGTTCTACAGCTCTTACTTGGCGAGGGTGAATTGTCAAAACAAATGTCTTGGTGTCCACAATTATTGCCCCGGCGGTTATAAAATGCAATCCAAATGTGTAGATGGGTCTTGCGTTTGTAACAGTCAAGACTACAATTACCACTCTTGTTTGCGTAAGTCATCTTGGAATTACTTTCAAGCTTCAAGTTTATTGTTTGTCATGCCAGTCAATTCTCCATCTTTTTATTCTTCCCGCTTCCTCGTTCGCTTATCCTAACAAACGATCATTACAACATTACTTAATCACAATCAATCGCTCCTCACCTTTAACATGCAAACTTTCATTGTCTTAGGGTTTTATCTAATAATCTTTGAACAAAAAAAAGTCGAGTTCAAGCGCAAAACTAACACGATTGAGAATCGTTTCGATCGTTTACGATTTAATGCGAAATACGAGCCGTGGGGGCAGTTAAAGTTCATAATTGATTGATTGATTTCAATACATAACCAGCGTCTGTGTAGAAATTGCGGAAGTGCCTTTTTGAAAGATAGACGGCGATCGTGAACGAATTTAAAACTTGGTAGTAGTAGTAGTAGTAGATCTTTATTTAAACTCGGTTAAGAATCTTCAGTTATACTAACAGCATTTTAATTACAATCATTTGTAAAAATTAAAATAACTATAAAAACTGATTTACAAGATTGCCGAGTGGGAATCGAATTTTTCAAGTGCTTGGTTGATTTCCTTCTTGAACTGCCCAATTGATCTAGTCGCCCTAATATTCTCAGGAAGAGAATTCCACAGTAAGGCACCGCTATGGTCAAAGCTACGTTTCAAATATTCAGTACGCGGCTTGGGCAAGTTTAACTTACGGAAAGAATCACGCAAGTCATAGTCTGTGAGTTGCTCACTGTATAAATCATGCAAGTACACTGGGGCTAACCCGTTGAGGGATTTAAACATCATTATAGCTTTTTGCTTTCTTCTTCCTAATGATAGCTGGTCCCACTTCAAAGTTTCAAGAAGCAGGCTTGAGTTTACCTCACAGTTGGCTTGCAGAATAACCCTAGCTGCTCGGTTTTGCAATTATTTGTAGTTTCTCACATAGATAAGAACTCAATCCATCCCAAACGGGGGCACAGTAATCGAAATGAGGTTGGATTAAAGCGTTATATATATTTGTACTGCAGTGGACTGAGAAATGAGGGACCTAATGCGCCTCAGAGCACCTATTGCCGAGGATATCTTTCTGCATAGTTCTTTGATGTGATTAGACCGTGAAAGTCGGTCATCAATAATTAAACCTAATGATTTGGCATGCTCAACCCTGCAAATTGGATGGCCATCTAATTGGATATTAATCTAACTACAATTTTCTGAAAGAAACTTTTGACGAGTACTAATCACCATAAACTGAGTTTTCGCGATGTTTAGACTAAGCTTATTGGCTTTTAGCCAGCTGTAAAGATTATTAAGTTCAGAATTTGTTGCTTGTTCGAGTTCGGCAAAAGTGCAACCAGGGACGGTGATTTTAGTATCGTCAGCAAACATTTTTGCGCAGGAAATATCGAGGCAATTAGGAAGATCATTTATATATATTAAAAAGAGCAGAGGTCCCAGTATACTTCCCTAAGGAACCCCGCAGGTTAATCTACTTGCACTGGATAACGCTCCAATGACACTGCATTTTTGGGATCTATTACATAAGTAGGACGCAAAAACTCGTAAAGCACTTTGATCAACCCCATAGTTCGCAAGTTTCCGCAAAATTATTTCGTGATCGATTGTATCAAAGGCCTTTTTAAGATCAATAAATAGCACGCCATTTAAGAGACCGTTGTCCATATTAATTGACCAGTTGTTCGTTGTCTCAAGCAGCGCTGTTAGCGTGCTGTGCATTGATCGAAAGCCAGATTGGTGCGTATTCAAGAGGCTATTATCCTGAAGATATTCATAAAGTTGACGATAAATAACTTTTTCGAAAATTTTTGAGACGAGTGGCAATACTGATATTGGTCGATAGTTCCCTTGTTCACGCTTGAATCCTTTCTTAAACAGCGTTGTAACTTTGGCAATTTTCCACTCGTTTGGAGTGGTCTTTTTAACAGGAGGCCAAAGGAATGAACAAGATCGATTGCAATGAAATTTTATGGTTAATTTAACTAAAAAAGCAATGAAATTTACCTTTTCTGTTCCCTACGGACAAATGATATCATTATGACGTTAAAATTGACTTCAAGATCGAGCACTCTATGTTTTTCTTCATAATTTGCATATGTGACCCACGGGATTTCAGGGAATAAGGTGAACGCACGCACACGGTACACTAGCACGCTAAAACAAAAGAAAAAGCTTTTAACACGTTAGCTGCGTGTAAGTTACTTGTCTCCTTAACTTCGCAGCCATGTCTTGGTTCGCACGGTAAGAACAAAGGAACGTGTTAAGATCTTGCTCGCAACTTTGCACGATCTAACAAGGTGACCGTGCCAATATTATAACACGCCGGCTTCGCTCCGGTTAAGCTGGGTTGTATAACAGCGTTTATTTATTTTAAAAATGCCGGTTTGCATAGAGTGACGAACAGCGACCGCATAGGAGACGTGGAGCCGGAAAACTGTTGCTAAAGGATTTGCAAAGATTCGGTTCTGGGCTTATTAACTTCGTGAAGCGATGAGAATTTATATTTTACAAGGTGAGAATTAAGTTTTCAAAAAGTAATTCATGTGTTCAAACTGAGCTCCTCTGGATCTTGTGAAACATGTCGTGCTCACTGAATTCCTTGGTGAAATCCTAAGGGAAAGAGCTGTGATTTTCCGTGAATGTTTCCTTTTTTATTACAACTTTCGGATAGGACAGAAGATCTTCTTCATTTTCGCTTATATTCTGTAAGTAATGTATTTTACAAACACCATTCTCACAATTAAGAAGCTGACAAACACAAGGAACAAAGTAAGCTGGATTGTAGAAGATAAGCTAGCGTGTTAAGGAACAACGGAACTTAGGGTGTGAAAAAAAAAATCCAGCGTGTTATAGAAAAAATGCCCTACCGTGTTAGACAGATATGAACAATGGCTACAGCACGTTTTCCAAAATCAATTGTTTTCATGCGCATATGTGCACGATAAGCGTGGCATGCCATTGGCGTGCAAGCGTGTTATAACGCGCCGTGAGCGTGCGTTCACCTTATTTCCTGAAATCCCGTAAGGAATCACATATTTTCAAACATGACTTACCCGCGCAAGAACGCATCAAAGAGGCACACGGATTTTTTTCTCTCGCTAGAGGTAAACTGACATTTTTTCCCTCCTTCTTGAAGTCAACATCTAACTTTCTTCTGTACAATAATTAACGATCAAAGCAAGTGATTATGTAAAATGACGGTGGAGCGCTTAAATTCAATTGCGTGTCGAACCTGAGACTGTCAGATCAAAACGAAAGATTTACACGAGACAGTGAAATCTGGGAGTAAAACAATAAATTATGTTTTAGCTTTTAAATGCTCGATAAAGGTGTATTATATAGAAGCGATTGGTTTCAGTTTTGCAAGTAATTTCTTGAGAGAGTTGCGCGAATTTTTGTGGCCGAAAACAGCGTGTACTAAAGCGGAAACAACAAACAAAAGTAATCTCAGACAAATTGAGAATTATCCCGATCCATTGCAAGAAAATATAAATTGCGTATAAAATATGCTTCTGCCTTTGTGGGTTTTTAAAAGTATAAGGAATTTGACGATAAAAAGCCAACGTCACGGCAAAGAAATTTGAAACGCACGTGAGGTATGGAAGGCGCGGTGGTCGAGTAAACAGGGGACTGGACCTTCACCCGCTCAAACTTGAGCTTCGGGTTGCGTTACTGACTTGGTTTTCTGTGAAGTGTTCTCGACCGAGGCAGTTTACTCACCCAGCGTCTCTCTCAACCCTGGATGTGTTCTGAAATGATTACCGAAGAAATATAAACAACCAGACGTTAAGTAACCCTGCGATGCACTGGCACCTGGTCGAAGCAATGGCCGGAAGGGAAAGGTCCTAATACTTTTGCGCCTCTCATGATACAGTGAAATCGAGGTTTGGTGTTATCAACTGAATTGATCGTATTCATTTGCCACTATAAAGAGATTCTAAGATTCTAACACAGTTTCGTCGGAGCAAATCGGCCTCGCTCTAACGAGGGGCTAACCCTAGGAACGTCAGCTGTAGAATTTCTTCATGGGGATCGATTGATATTGCCTGAACTCAGGCAATAAATTCAAATTATCTTGTAATGTCCTCCACAGATGTACCACCAAATTTTTTTAGAAACTTACCCCTTTATTCGTTTATGCCATGTTTAATGTATGTTATATTATAGTTGTTTTTGTATTAACGTTTATTTCCTCAGCGGATACAAAAGGATGCAAAGTATCAGTGGATGCTGCAACATCCCTCGGCAAACCTCAATATAACAACCAGCCCCGGCAGCCTACCTACAGCTGCACGCCTGGGAGCAGCAGCTCCAGTCAGTATGAAGTGCACGTATTATCTGTTTACGAGGTTATCAACAGACGTCCCCCGACCGCTGGTGACGCTACTGTTAACATCTTCAGTGGTAAAAGGCCAGACAGACCTCTTGTACTTGTACTTGCAAGTTACGAACCTGTAAATTGGATCCTCAAGGTACCATCGGACGTCACAATAAGTAGGGTGATACTGGTAAGTAGGCAACTGAGGAAATTATATGATAAATAAATCATTTCGACAGGAGGGTCACTTTAAATATCTTCGACGTTCAACCTTCTCACCTATATGTTGAAACCTTAATCTCCCGACCTAAAAATTAACACCTGAACGACTGAAAAAAAGCCTGCAAAACTATTCTTTGTATATTTTTTGCTAGTATTCGTTTTGTCAAGCTATAAATTGATCATGGGAGATTTTTGGAGAACCACCAAAAGCTGAGTTAAATGTGGAAATACAAACTGAGAAAAGGAAACACAAGGAAAAAAAGTTTATATCTTTGTTTCTCTCTTTGAAGGTTGCATACTACGTGGATAAAAGTTCAGTCAGTGGAGACGTGAACCAAGTACAGGCGATTGAACGAAAGAGTTACCGTGCCTCGTGGCCGACAGGATATGGTAGTGATTCGGGCGGTGGAGATACAGTTGGGCTTCTTAAGTAAGAAAACAGAAAGAGGCATTGAATAATTGAAATATGCCGCCTTACCCCCTTGCCTCCTCAGTGCTGCCGTCCTTTTTACTACAACTGTCGTAAGGATTTTATTCTCATCTTGCCTTAATAGCGAGAAGTGGTAGTACAATTGTCTCCATTGATCCACTGTCCTTAAACATAACATGTCTTCACTTTTATGGGAGGAGTTCGTTCTAAAGCGGTTAGCTTCTCCTGAGATACCATCCATCCAATTATCTGACATCTCTCCGTCGGATCTTGGACTCACTGCGACTTGATAGCGAGAAATGAACGAAAAACTGTTTGCATTGATCTGTTGTCTATTTAACAATGGACTGATTTCATTGACAGGCTATATTTGAATTTCTTTTTACAGGAAGATTTATGAAAAGTTTGGTGTGGTGACGTCGTTTACAGGCACTTACAAAGCAGATAAATGGTCTTTGAGTTTACGTTCTTCAAACGGTACCTAATTCGTTACTACTAACCCATTACTAAGGATTATTGGTTCTCTAGTAGTTTTGGCGATGAGGACATCGCTGAAATTTTTGATCGGTCCAAAGCTGTCCGTTTTTTGAGATACGAATTTTTGTTTCCACAAGAACTGACATTTATGATAAAATTTGATTATAATTTCTCTGATACATTTGCCTTGAAAGCTTCAAACAAGAGGTAGGCTGACTGGAGAGTAACCTATAGCAACCGCTAATCATCTATATGCATCCAACGGTGGATGTAAGTAAAACAGGCAAACCTTCGACTATGACCAAGGTCAAAGCCACATAGTCTTTTTTTAGAGAGCAATCCTCCTTCAAAATTTTGGAAATGCAGGGGTGAACCATACAAAACCAAGGGCTTAAAGTTACCTCCGAATGATTATTAGATTTTCCCTGACTGAGACAAGTTAGTCAATTGCACTGCAGACCTCATCAGTTATTCTAAGAGCATGGTTCTACGTGTGATTTTTTAAATAAACTTGTGACCTACCGCTCTGTAACCTTGACATAACTAAACAGTCGAAGGACCTTGATCAAAATAGATATGATCTTCGAACATTAATAGACTGTAGTGGGTTGCTAGAGAATAATATATATTTAATGAAACACTGAAATGCACAAAACATTTTGCATCTTTCATTTCTGCCGACGCCTTTTTGGAATTACCTTACAGGTCAGGATGAGCCGTTGAATAACAACTGCTTACACCCGAATGACCTGATAATGGCGGCCACGTCATACATGATTTGCTTTTCTCTTCCTCTTAAAAAGGGTCGGGGTCTAGTATCGTCAGTAGCAGCAAATCCTCTGCCAACACCGTCATCACCAGCACCACACCTACCACCACCATACCGTCTACCTCATCCACAGCCAAGCTGCATCGCAAAAAATGTTACTGGTGGAACAATGGCTATCACTGCTCCGGCCTATATGGCACAAAAACAGCTGTCTGCATCGATGGGTACTGCGTCTGCTCTTTCCAAGACTATGATTATCATACTTGTTTGCGTAAGATTCCCTTTGCTGTTTCTTTTTATTGTGAAATTTTCAATGTGGACGGCTTCTGCCAGGAATGGTTTTGTCCAATATAACAGATTTCAGAATATTTTAAGGTAAATGCATTGACACTCAACCATAACGATGCAGGCTGAAGTTTACGTGCTGGAAGATATAGCACTGACCTCAGCAGACTTGAAATGTCTAATTAATATTTAATTCCTTTGTTTCTCCATGTTTTGCCGGGACCTTAGTAAGATCTCAACATGCATTGCCGTTCTTTTTTTTTTTTAATATGTCTCCAGCTGATACAAAAGGATGCAAGATATCAGTGGATGCTGCTACATCCCTCGGCAAACCTCAATATAACAACCAGCCCCGGCAGCCTACCTACAGCTGCACGCCTGGCAGCAGCAGCTCCAGTCAGTATGAAGTGCACGTATTATCTGTTTACGAGGTTATCAACAGACGTCCCCCGACCGCTGGTGACGCTACTGTTAACATCTTCAGCGGTGGTAGGTCAGACAGACCTCTTGTACTTGTACTTGCAAGTTACGAACCTGTAAATTGGATCTTAAAGTTACCATCGGACGTCACAATAAGTAGGGTGATACTGGTAAGTAGGCAACAGAGACAATTATATGATAAATAAATCTTTTCGACAGAAGGGTCACTTTAAAAATCATCCCTTCAACCTTCTCACCTATATGTTGAAACCCTTAATCTCCCGACCTAAAAATTAACACCTAAACGACTTAAAAAAAGCCTGCAAAACTATTCTTTGTATATTCTTTGCTAGTATTCGTTTTGTCTAGCTATAAATCAATCATGGGAGATTTTTGGAGAACCAACAAAAACTAAGTTAAATGTGGAAATACAGACTGAGAAAAGGTAACACAAGGAAAAAAAGTTTATATCTTTGTTTCTCTCTTTGGAGGTTGCATACTACGTGGATAAAAGTTCAGTCAGTGGAGACGTGGACCAAGTACAGGCGATTGAACGAAAGAGTTACCGCGCCTCGTGGCCGACAGGATTTGGTAGTGATTCAGGCGGTGGAGATACAGTTGGGCTTCTTAAGTAAGAAAACAGAAAGAGGCATTGAAAGTTTGAAATATGCCTCCTAACCCCCTTGCCTCCTCGGTGCTGCCGTCCTTTTCACTACAACTGTCGTAAGGATTTTAAAGTCAACCTTAATAGCGAGAAGTGATTTATATTGGACAATCGTCTCCATTAATTCACTGTCCTTATACATAATATGTCTTTACCTTTAGGAGGGGGGGGGGGGGGTGTTCCGTTCGAAAGCTGGTAGCCTCTCTAGTGGTACCGTCCATACCAATATCTGATATCTCTCCTTCGGGTCTTGGACTCATTGCGTCTTGATAGCGAGAAATGAACGAAAAGTTGTTTGCATTGATCCATTGATTATTTAACAGGGGACTGATTTCATTGACCGGCCATATTTGAATTTCTTTTTACAGGAAGATTTATGAAAAGTTTGGTGTGGTGACGTCGTTTACAGGCACTTACAAAGCAGATAAATGGTCTTTGAATCTACGTTCTTCAAATGGTAACTAATTGATTACTCTAAACCCATTATTAAGGATTATTGGCTTTCTGGTAGGTTTGACTATGAGGACATCACTGAATTTTTGATCGGCGCAAAGCTGTCCGTTTTTCGAGATACGAATTTTTGTTTCCACAAGAACTGACATTTATGATAAAAATATATAATATTTAATTTCTCTGGTACATCTGCCTTGAAAGCTTCAGACGAGGTTTACAATATATCAATTTGAGGTAAGCTGACTGGAAAGTATCTTATAGTAGCCGCTAATGATCTATATCCATAAAACAGGCAAACCTTCGACTATGACCAAGGTCAAAGCCTCATAGTCTATTTGAAGAGCAATCCCCCTTCCAAATTTTGGAAATGCAGGGGTGAACTATACAATACCAAGGGCTTAAAGTTACCTCCGAATGATTAATAGATTTTGCTGACTGAGACAAGTTAGTTAATTGCACTGCATGACCTCATCAGTTATTTTAAGAGCATGGTTGTACGTGTGGTTTTTTATATAAACCAGTGACCTACCGCTCAGTAACCTTGACATAACTAAACAGTCGGAGGACCTTGATCAAAATAGATATGGACTTTGAACACTGATAGACTGTAGTGGGTTGTTAGATATAATATATATCTAACGGAACACTGAGATGCACAAAACATTTTGCATCCTTCATTTCTGCCGTCGCCTTTTAGGAATTACCTTACAGGTCAAGATGAGCCGTTGAATAACAACTGCTTACACCCAAATGACCTGATACTGACGGCCACATCATACATGATTTGCTTTTGTCTCCCTCTTAAAAAGGGTCGGGGTCTAGCATCGTCAGTAGCAGCACATCCTCTGCCAACACCGTCATCACCAGAACCACACCTACCACCACCATACCGTCTACCTCATCCACAGCCAAGCTGCATCGCAAAACGTGTTACTGGTGGAACAATGGCTATCACTGCTCCGGCCTATATGGCACAAAAACAGCTGCCTGCATCGATGGGTACTGCGTCTGCTCTTTCCAAGACTATGATTATCATACTTGTTTGCGTAAGATTCCCTTTGCTGTTTCTTTTTATTGTGAAATTTTCAACATGGACGGCTTCTGCCAAGAATGGTTTTGTCCAATATAACAGATTTCAGAATCTTTTAAGGTAAATGCATTGACACTCAACCATAACGATGCAGGCTGAAGTTTACGTGCTGGAAGATATAGCAATGACTTCAGCAGACTTGAACAGTCTAATTAATCTTGAATTCTTCTGTTTCGCCATGTTTTGCCGGGACCTTTGTAAGATCTCAACATGTATTGCCGTTCTTTTCTTTTTTAAATATGTCCTCAGCTGATACAAAAGGATGCAAAATATCAGTGGATGCTGCTACATCCCTCGGCAAACCTCAATATAACAATCAGCTCCAGCAGCCTACCTACAGCTGCACGCCTGGCAGCAGCAGCTCCAGTCAGTATGAAGTGCACGTACTATCTGTTTACGAGGTTATCAACGGACGTCCCCCGACCGCTGCTGACGCTACTGTTAACATCTTCAGCGGTGGAAGGTTAGACAGACCTCTTGTACTTGTACTTGCAAGTTACGAACCTGCAAATTGGATCTTAAAGTTACCGTCTGACGTCACAATAAGTAGGGTGATACTGGTAAGTAGGTAACAGAGACCATATATGATAAATAAATCATTTCGACAGGAGGGTCACTTTAAAAATCTTCGACGTTCAACCTTCTAATCTATTTGTTGAAACCTTAATCTCCCGACTTAAAAGTTAACACCTAAACGACTGCAAAACTATTTTTTGTATATTCTTTGCTAGTATTCGTTTTGTCAAGCTATAAGTTGATCATGGGGGTTTTTTGGAGAACACGCCAAAAGCTAAGTTAAATGTGGAAATGCAAAATGAAAAAAGGACACAAAGAAAACAGGTTTATATCTTTGTTTCTCTCTTTGAAGGTTGCATACTACGTGGATAAAAGTTCAGTCAGTGGAGACATGAACCAAGTACAGACGATTGAACGAAAGAGTTACCGCGACTCATGGCCAATAGGATTTGGTAGTGATTCAGGCGGTGGAGATACAGTTGGGCTTCTTAAGTAAGAAAACAGAAAAAGGCATTGAATGTTTGAAATATGCCGCTTAACCCCCTCGCCTCCTCAGTGCTGCCGTCCTTTTCACTACAACTGTCGTAAGGATTTTATACTCATCTTGCCTTAATAGCGAGAAGTGGTTGGACAATCGTCTCCATTGATCCACTGTCCTTATACATAGCATGTCTTCACTTTTATGGGAGGAGTTCGTTCGAAAGCTGTTAGCTTTTCCAGTGATACCGTCCATCCCACTTTCTGACATCTCCCCGTCTGATCTTGGACTCACTGCGCCTTGATAGCGAAAAAAGAACGAAAAACTGTTTGCATAGATCTATTGTCTATTTAAATATGAAGTGATTCCATTGACTGGCTATAATGAATTTCTTTTTACAGGAAGATTTATGAAAAGTTTGGTGTGGTGACGTCGTTTACAGGCACTTACAGAGCAGATAAATGGTCTTTGAGTTTAAGTTCTTCAAACGGTACCTAATTCGTTACTATTAACCCATTACTAAGGATTATTGATTCTCTAGTAGGTTTTGCGATGAGGAAATCACTGAAATTTTTGATCGGCGCAAAGCTGTCCGTTTTTTGAGAAACGAATTTTTTTTCCACAAGAACTGACATTTATGATAAAAATTGATAATAATTTCTCTGGTACATTTGCCTTGAAAGCTTCAAACAAGAGGTAGGCTGACTGGAGAGTAGCCTATAGCAGCTGCTAATAATCTATATGCATCCAACGGTGGATGTAGATAAAACAAGCAAACCTTCGACTATGACCAGGGTCAACGCCTCATAGTCTTTTTGAAGGGCAATCCCCCTTCCAAATTTTGGAAATGTAGGGGTGAACCATACAGTACCAAGTGCTTAAAGTTACCTCCGAATGATTAATAGATTTTCCCTGACTGAGACAAGTTATTTATTTGCACTGCATGACCTCATCAGTTATTTTAAGAGCATGGTTGTACGTGTGGTTTATTATATAAACCTGTGACTTACCACTCTGTAACCTTGACATAACTAAACAGTCGGAGGACCTTGATCAAAATAGATATGGACTTCGAACATTGATAGACTGAAGTGGGTTGTTAGAAATAATATATATTTAACGGAACACTGAAATGCACAAAATATTTTGCATCTTTCATTTATGCCGTCGCCTTTTAGAAATTACCTTACAGGTCAGGATGAGCCGTTGAATAACAACTGCTTACACCCAAATGACCTGATACTGACGGCCACATCATACATGATTTGCTTTTGTCTCCCTCTTGAAAAGGGTTGGGGTCTAGCATTGTGAGTAGCAGCACGTCCTCAGCCACCACCGTCATCACCAGCACCACAAGTACACCCACCACCACCATACTGTCTATCTCATCCACAGCCAAGCTGCATCGCAAAAAATGTTACTGGTGGAACAATGGCTATCACTGCTCCGGCCTATATGGCACAAAAACAGCTGTCTGCATCGATGGGTACTGCGTCTGCTCTTTCCAAGACTATGATTATCATACTTGTTTGCGTAAGATTCCCTTTGCTGTTTCTTTTTACTGTGAAATTTTCGAAGTCCCAGTTCATGTCATGAATTCATATCTCAGGCAGCCCAACATCGCACATTAGTATTATCATTTTAAGTTAAATACATTGATACTCAACCATAACGATGCAGGCTGAAGTTTACGTGCTGGAAGATATAGCACTGACTTCAGCAGACTTGAACTGTCCAATTTATCTTGAATTCCTTTCTTTCGCCATGTTTTGCCGAGACCTTAGTTAGATCTCAACATGCATTGCCGTTCTTTTTGTTTTTATGAATATGTCCTCAGCTGATACAAAAGGATGCAAAATATCAGTGGATGCTGCTACATCCCTCGGCAAACCTCAATATAACAACCAACCCCGGCAGCCTACCTACAGCTGCACGCCTGACAGCAGCAGCTCCAGTCAGTATGAAGTGCACGTATTATCTGTTTACGAGGTTATCAGCAGACGTCCCCCGACCGCTGGTGACGCTACCGTTAACATCTTCAGCGGAAGAAGGCCAGACAGACCTCTTGTACTTGTACTCGCAAACTATGAACCTGTAAATTGGATCCTTCAGATACCATCCAACATCACTATAAGTAGGGTGATACTGGTAAGTACGCAATAGAGACTACTCAATCCTGTCACCTTCTTCTTGAAGCCTTGACGTCCTCAAATTCCAGATGTAAACCTAGGGAATGACCGTGAAATGCACGTAAAACTATTCGTTAGATAGCCTATGCTAGTATTCGTTCAGTCGAGCTATAAATTAAACATGAAAGCTTTTTTCCGGGAACATTCCAAGAGCTAAGTTGAAAATGGAGAAGCAAACTGGAAACAAGGATGCAAGGAAAACAAGTTTATATCTTTATTTTTCTTTCTTTGGAGGTCGCATACTACGTGGATGAAAGTTCAGTCAGTGGAGACGTGAACCAAGTACTGGCGATTGAACGAAAGAGTTACCCAGGCTCATGGCCAAGAGGAATTGGTAGTGATTCAGGGGGTGGTGATACAGTAGGGCTTCTCAAGTAAGAAAGCAGAAAAGTGTATTGATTGCATGTCATATGACCCTCCCCCTCTCCGAACACTGATACATAGAGAATTGAAAATGATGGAACATGACTCTTGACCAAGAGTTAAATGACGCTATGAAGTACAGTCTGACATATATTTGCTGGACCATTTAAAGAAATTGTGTTTTTTTTACACATATATCATATTTTACATATATATCGGACACTTTGACTGACTGACCAGGCTCCGGTTACTCGAAGGTAGGATAACACTATCCACTGGATAACAATCTATCCGGTCGATAACGGCATAAGTTTTGCTATCACTAATCTTCCGGACAACGATTTATCTGTTAGATAGCGTTATCCGCCTTTTATACAACTGGGCCCAGATCTGATCGAAAAAACTGTCTCGATTGATCTATTGATTTGCTAAAAAAAATCATTAATTGGTTTGTTTGAACATGCTTGGATTTCTTTTGATAGGAAGATATACGAGAGGTTTGGTGTGGTGACGTCATTTACAGGCACTTACAGAGCAGACAAATGGTCACTGAATTTATCCTCCCAAAGCCATGAGAAAAAGACGAAATCCTCCTGTCACGAGGTTAGTAACCGTAATGATAAGTTAATATCATCATCATCATCATATTTTTATTTGCCTTATTTCCAAAATACAAAAAAATTTATTTACAGCGGTTATAGCTAGAAGGCGAGGAGACCCAGGAAGCCACCGGGCTTATGAGAGAGCCACCTCACTTACATTAATAAATAAAGTAAAGAAAAAGTGCTGCGAATGTGCGGCTAGACTCTTGCATTTTCGTCTTAAAACTAAGAAGGTTTGACGAACAAGTGACTGAAACAGAAAGAGAGTTCCAAATTTTAGGACCTTGGTAAAGAATTGTAAATTACTTGTGATTTGCACAAATGCGTTCGATAATTACTGGCTGTTCTGGTACTGTTCTGGTAGTTGTGAATTTGGCTATTCGTTACAAAAAGATTGAGAAGTAATGGAGGCAATAAGTTATTTCTATAATAAAACATGAATTTGGCGATTTCAAACGTATTGACTTGGAAAATATCTAAAATTCCTAGTTTGGAGAATAATATGAACATCATCCGTTTATACCTAAGCGATCGAGAGTGAGACTCATCATTATTATCATAGTCATCATTAGCATACTCGGGGATCGGTCATTATTTATCCCAGGATGGGGAAGGAGGGGGAGGGTGGAGAATGCGATCCTCCCAAAACTCCTCTCCACCTACTGCCCCACTCATGCGATGAATAAGAACTGATCACTCGTTGGAGCGAAATATGAAACAACCAGTTTTGTTCCAACTGATGTCTTTTTCTAAAGTGAGTATTGTCTTTCAGGTCGTTGAGAAGTTAAGCAAGAGGATTGAATTGCTGTCTGAAGAAGTAAAGAATCATAAGATGAAAATCATCTCTCTCAAGGAAAAGCGTGATGAATCGTTTGCCCCTCAAATTTCGTCAGGTGGACCCATACAAAAGATTCACAGGAATCTAGCCAGCATTTTTGCGATAACAGTACTAACAGCACATATTTATTTGGTGATGTGAACCTTTTACATTTGAAAAAGCTATGAAATTAAGACGCATTCTGCCGTAAACGTTGTAAGAAGAGGCCTAAAGATTCCAAAAGTGCTGCTAAATTTAACAGTTGTACGTTCCCTTGCTTAAAAAGAATGGAAACACCTGCATACAACTCTTTCTGACCACTCAGTTGTTTGTAAGTTAACTCTTGCATTGGAATCCTTAACACCACTTCTTACGATATGGTTTGTAATATTTTCAATAAAATCGTCACATTTGAGGAATCTGAGTTATCTTTATCACTCTGCCTGTATCTATAGGAACCCAATGTTAACTACTAGAGAGCGGCAACAAGAAAACTTGAGATGCGATGAACTGTAAACTCTTTTTATTACATGAACAACGATTCGCTGAAATCAAATGCATAAATTCGCTGAATAAATAATGGTAATTGAACTGAGTGAAGTGCAATTTGGGCTGGTATCATACGCGTGATTTCAAAATCGAACGAGCGTGCAGCGCGAGTTCGATTTGAAATCACAAGTATGATTTCACTTGATCAGCAGGGATTTGCTAAAGCAAAGGCATAGAAAAAACCAGGAAAGATTTATTACTCGACGTTTCGAGTAAACTAGTAAGAGACTAGTTTAAAAACATGCAAATAAGGAAAGGTACAAGAATAGCATAAATTAGAATGAACGGCTTAAACAAACACCTTGGCGCGGATGGAATCCGTTTGCACGTTCAGTGTTGGCTTACGCATGCGAATATACAACATTTCATTAACAAGGCAATCAAATTTGCCGTTACATTTCGCGATGACGTTGAATTGCTCGATCAAAGATTTATTACTCCTAGTATTACTACTACTATTATTAATCCTGAGAAGGATTTCATCTGCAGAGCCCTGTCCATCACCAGACGTACCATCGGAGATTGTGAGATTAGTGTTACCCTTCAAGGACCAGTCGTCAGCTAATCATGTTAAACAACAACTGAACAGTCTAAGCTCGAAGTTAAGCGTGACTGTCCAACCAGTGTTCGTTAGCCCTAAGCTCGATCAACAGCTTAAGCAACACGAAATTAAGCCCCCTATTGTTAACCAACAATGTATCGTTTATGAATTTAAATGTAACCTGTGTGATGCAGGGTATGTGGGCTATACTCGTGGTCACTTACACGAGCGCGTAGAAGGGCACACAAGGAAATCATCTTCTATCTACAAACACTACCACCTCCAGCACAATAGTGAAATGCCTGAACGCTTGATCGAGCAATTCAACGTCATCGCGAAATGTAACGGCAAATTTGATTGCCTTGTTAATGAAATGTTGTATATTCGCATGCGTAAGCCAACACTGAACGTGCAAACGGATTCCATCCGCGCCAAGGTGTTTGTTTAAGCCGTTCATTCTAATTTATGCTATTCTTGTACCTTTCCTTATTTGCATGTTTTTAAACTAGTCTCTTGATAATGGAGTCACGATGACCCCGAAACGTCGAGTAATAAATCTTTCCTGGTTTTTTCTAAGTATGATTTCAGACCAAAATTGCACAACACGAGGTTCAATTACCACTTTATTACACCCCTTTTGAAATCGCCCAAATACAGGACTTGGTCAGTTCAAATATTTTATTGATACAGTACTGAGCCGGTTCGAGATTAAATTCATCCATTTTTGAGGGGAAAAAATGAGAGTTTTAGAAACAGAAGTTGCGAAATTTGCCACATGATACTCTTTGTCTTTCATTTTCCTGCAGTTTGATTGGTTACTTTAAATAAGCCTTGAAATCTGATTGTTTGTTTTGTTCTTATTATAGCCTCTTCATTGGCCGGGAAAAAGATGCGATTTAAAGCAAAAAAAATGGTGCGATTTGTGAATAAATTGAACCAGTTAGAGCCAATCAGATTACAGGGACCACCAGTGATTTCAAAATGGGTGTAATAAAGCAAAATAACGACCGAATCACGAAGGATAAGAAAGCTGCACAAAAACCGATGGATACTTACAAGTTTTTTTGTGCCTTGTTCTGCTAATAACAAATGAAATCTTGTTCGACAATCTTAGCAGAAGCTAAAACTTAAACACAAAACAGACCATGTGTCGAAAACTTGTTATCTTATCGTGACTGCAAAAATATGTAACCAGCGGTACAGGTCGTAAATTACTCACTGAAATATCTTTTTGAATCAGGTCTCAGACATTTACAGTATCTCTTAAGAAAATAACACCTTGAGAAGCTCTGGACGTTCTCAACTTTCGTAAATGGCCGGCATGATGTTATTTTTCTGAGAATAGATAGTGGTTTGATACAATTTGAAAAAAAGCAAAGGAAGTTCAGAAAAATAGAATTTCACCGATTACTGAGAGCTTGGAAAGTGAAGTAAATAACGAAAAGAAAGCGTATTAGTAATCGACTCACTACAAGAACCATATACTGGACAACTTCTTATTGATAGATCGACCTTATTCATTCTCAAGTATTCGCTACAAAGTCTGAACCCTTTACAGTCTAACATAAGTATAAAAGTATCCATATCCTTTGTAATTTTTTTTTCGTTCATTTCTTCTGGTGTTGACGAGGAAAATTTGTTTAATCAAAGTTTCCTAGGTTCGCAATTATTTCCCGTTATTCTCACGATCGTAATGAATGACTCAGCAATTTTACTGTGAGGTTAAATCAGATGGTGGTCCCTCTTATGGTTTGAAAGGTGAACATGGTGACGACAAAACAAGAATAAACTAGTTGAATGAAAAGTGCTCGTTGATACCGTGTGGATTAAAAGTGCACACTTAAACTTTCCCCTTTTAAACATCGATCAGTGGGGCGCAGTTGTGAGAGAAGATTAAAAATTTACAATATTCGCACTTGGTACATTAAGATGTTAAAATCCACCGCATAACCATTTGGCTCAGTTTACGTGAAAACTCAACGATGGATGTTAGACACTTCCTCAGACTTTCCTGTGTAATTTTTGTGATGAAGAGAACAGTGTGTGTAAACTGACGTCATTGATCTAACTTGTGAAGATTGCGCAACAGTTGTAATCCAGGTTCGAAGGTTTGGTTGACGGAAGGAATTCCTTGTCCTTCCACGTCCTAGAATTGAAGTGGTTCACACAGTCGAAAATCCTTGACATACTAATAAGCTTGACCTGCCCTTCTGTCATGTCGCTATCAAGTCATGTCGCTATCAAGTCATGTCGCTACCTTCGAGAGGAAAGTCCCAAAAACTCAGTTACCACTTATGCTCATGGCAGGCAAGCGTACGGTCAAGGTTATCATTAGCTTCTCAAGGAAAACGAAATATAGCAATTAATGAAAAAAAACCCCGTAAAACTGCGCCAATCAACAATATAACAAGACTTTCACTTCACAGTAAAAAAAGTTTAACCTTCAAACTCTGTTGGCATGGCAATCGCAGTAGTTACATCCCACCCAAAAAGGAAATTTTTTTTCGAACTACATTACCCATAATAACTTTCCTCAGTTGTGTTATCTTTTGCCAACAGGGCATCCGAGCCAGTATGACGCCTGCGACTGACACTTGCAAGTACTCATGGATCAGGGACTTTAAGATTGGGGTGTTGTTTCGATTACCGCGAACGGCAAACGTCAAGTTCTCATTTAACGTAGCTCTTAGCGCGCAGTTTAAAACTTGTAGGTCTCAGTTGAACGTGAGGAGTGCTGTTTTGTGGTAAGTGATTTACGAAAAAGTTCTTCTCATACTTCAAGACTCTAAATTCACGTAATCACGTTTTCTGCTTATGTTTCCTTCTTTTATTATCTGAAATACCCTCTGACACTTAAGTGTTTTTGAAACAACAAAACAGTGGACAGTTGAAGCGAATCTTCGCATCTACTCGTAGATATTGACAGATTTAGACACTAAAACTACAACCTTTCTTTGAAAGATGTCTAATGGTAAGTGTAGTGGAAAACGGGTCAAAAGCATTGGGTTCGAGACTTGGACGGGTCATTGTGTTATGTTCTTGGGCAAAACACTTTACTTTACAAAGTACTGGCGAATTGTCAGGGAAGCCTGATGAAATGCTGGGGGGATAATCCTGCAATAGATTAGCTTCACATCCAGGGGGGAAGTAGTAATATTCCTAGTCGCTTCATGCTAAGGAAACTGGGCTAAGGTTCGGCTGGGCAAGCCACTTAGCTCACGTACAGACTTTTTTTTTTTACTAAAACAGCGCTTTTATAAAGCGTTGGAACGGCTAAGACCTATAACTCTTATTAATGTTTTGTTTGAACGAAAAAAACCGACAGCTGCATACAATGTCTCTATAGCTACATGCTCACAGGCTCGCCTGTGTATCTCATACTTCTTGGACATCGTGGTCCTCCATGAGAAATTCAGCGGCTTGTGTTTCAACGCATGCTCGGTAACCTTCACGATGATAGGCGGAGAATTGCAAAGGTGTGAAAAATTGATTGGCAGTAGAGGTGTTTGGGAACCTGTCACAGAGGAGCTCAGACAAACCGCTTAGGCAGGACTTTTTGTTGCAGCACTCACAGCAACAGAAGGTCAACTTATCGACTTCCTCCCCAGTCAAATACGGACTATTTCCCCAGTCATTCGGCTCCAGATTAAAACCAAATTCTTCCCAGGTTTTGACCTCGCTTTGATCACCTTTGCGTGGACTTCGTGGCCTTATCATCATAATTTCACCTTCACCATCTTTGCCACCGTCATCTTTGTAGTACTCAACTTTAAATCTAAGCGGAAAAGAATGAATGTTTTTAGTCAATTTGAAGAGCTCATACAACCTCCATTGAATCAAAGGAACTCTATGGATTAACCTCTAAGAGTGACTAGCACCTAATTTCAACCTTACTCCTGAATCAAACATTTAGGCCACGAGGATAAAGTAAGTTATCAGCAACTAATGAAGCTCTAATTGAATTGATTACTGAACAAATGCTCGTGGGCCAATGCCTTTCAATGCCTTTTAATGCCTTTCAAGCTATGAAGAACGAGCCGCTAGACTGCTATTGACAACGGTGGAGTCTTGCCATCACAAACTTGAGGCCATAATTATCTTCCCTTACATTAGACTTGAAACAGTGTATACCACTGATATACCCTGAATATCTCGAGCCCACATCAACTGATTGGTCCCTAAAAGAAGAGGAGTAGGAGAAGGATCGAGATACAAGGATTTCAATGTATTTTTAATTTCTTACTATAATGAAAAATTCTTCTACCTGACACAACTCTTCTCTTCCAGGATGTTAGTTTTTTTCTGTTAGTTATGGACACATTCCCCATGTAGACAATTTCTTACTATCGAAGGTAAAAAAAATTGGTACATGAGAAAATACATACCTGTAATATCTTGGTTTCCTTTTATCCGGTTTATTTGGTTTTACGAAGGTGTCTAACAGGTCTGAAATGACGTCACGACCTCCCTGGCCAATAAACGAACAGTTTAGCTCGGTACGAGCGAGCATCAGTGCTTTCAGAAGGTCATCTCCATACCTCTTCTCATCAGAGGTGTAACCACCATTCACTACAACAATTTTCTTGAGTTTTTTCTTTAATAATGGTAGAATCCCGGTATTTTCCATGTGGCCTCCGTCGCTGAGTAGCATCACAGGAGGGGGCATGGGTCCGATGTTCTCAACGGAAAGGGTTTCTCTGACAAACTCCACGAAAGACACGTGTACAATAAACCACCTTTGAAAAAAGACGCAATAGATCAGGAATGACGATCTGGGTTACAAGGTGTGTTTTTCAAACTGTGGGTGATGTCATTAGCGAACCTGTGCCTTGTGGCATGCGACAATTTCAATATACTACCAGGCAGCAACATCCTTTCTTTGCAAGAATTTTTTGACACCATAATTAGACACGGCGTTGAGTGAGTACTCTTTGCTAAACACAGCACGAGTCCCCTCTGAAAAATCCTGACTTCGCCCGGGGGCAGTAAGTTACAAGAACGAAAGAAAGTTATTTACTAGGAGCTATATTCATAGCGCCAAACACCAAATTCACCAGCATAGCGTCGGGTAGTCATCTGTTGAGATTTAACTTTTAAATCTTGGGATCGAAAGGATGAAGAAGACAATGTTTTGTATGAGTTTAGCTTGGGATCAACGGTTCGGTTCAAAAGCTATGCACAGTTGTTCGAAAAGCGGTTGGCGATAATCCAGGATTAAAAGTTTAACGTGTCCTTGAAAGCGTATTTATTACGGCTTACGTTTTGAGCGGTTTCACCTTAGTCCAAGAAAAATCTGAAGGAAAAAAAACTGCCTGCAAGGCAGCAAAACAAAATAAAAAACTGTTGGCCAACCCTCGGTTAGCTTAATCTTGCTTTGAACAACCCTGCTCTCAGGACGTTTCAGTGTCTGTTGTTGTACGTTTAGTGGGACGAGAGCAATCCGAACCAAATGTTTTGCTTCACCAACATACGTCAATGGTCTGGAAGATTCACACCATCCTCTCTAAAGGTAATAAGTGCTTGAACTACATGCGTCATATTCACCCACGTTTTCTGACGCTTCGCGTGGTTTGTACGCTTTTACTTACTTCAATTTCGGTCCTCATTAACTCCTTCGAACACTTAATTTCTTCTGGCCTGTTCCTGCCATTCGGTTAGTAAAATGGAGCGAACTAGAAAACGGCGCGAAAGTTGTGGCGGAGCAAAACCGAGAGAGGCTTGGGCCGGTTTCTCAGAGTTCTTTACGCGACCCGACCCAAGCCTCGCTCGTTTTTTCTCTACTTCGCTATTATTGCGGTGTTTACTATCGTGCCTCGTTTTGCAACGACTGAATTCTGTGATTTCCAAAGGTTTGTACTTAAGCGGAAATTGAACTCCTTATCGCGCAATTTTGATCTGAAATTATACGTGCGCTCGTTCGATTTGGAATCACGCGTATGATTTCAGACCTAATAATATACATGAAAAATTATTCAGTCCTGATTGATTAAGATAAATGCAGTTTTCAGCTAATTCAGAGCAGAAGAGAGTTAATTCAGTGTAGAAGAGGGTTAATTTAGTGCAAAGAAAGTAACAAACCAGACATTCTTATTGGTCAATAATCAAAGAAACTCACAGATAGCAATCAAATGCGAGCCTTGGATGTCGCAACAAAATTTGAAAATTTGAAAATTTGCGAGCGGAACAATGGCAGACGTTCTAAGTAGGTTTTCTTTCGCCACCGCGGCTGAAAAACAGCTCAAACAACGAAAAAATTGTAAAAAGCACTGCTTTTTGGTTGTCGGTTTGGAAAAAGCGTTGTTTAGAGAAGGGAATTGCCAAGGAAATCGAAAATTACGAGCCAACCCAGCTTAACACTTTGCTCGAGCGATCCAACGCCGAAATGAAAAAACAAACATGGTTAAACCTCGGAAACGACGATTCCATTTCATCGAGAGTGATTCGGACACAGACTGAACAATTGACTTTGAACTTTTTTGCCCCTTAAAGATGTGAGGATATCACTGCATATGATTGTTTTAATCGTAGGCGGTTTTTTTGACCGGTTTGAATAAATTATTTTTGCACTTGATTCGCGCGCTTTGCTTATGCTTACTTATGATAACCTATCTCGTATTTTATCATTTATATTATTAACACGTAATCACATGATTTTTCTCGTGCAATTTGGAATAAACAAGCACTTGTTAATTTTTTCAAAGACCACAAATTGCACGAGCCCGTGGGGCGAGTCCAATTTTGTTAGTCTTTAAAATAATTACTCGTGCTTGTTTATTCCAAATAACACTCGAAATCATGTGATTACCACTCAGTTCAATTACCATTATTAAGACATTCAGACAGTGATATGTGCACTAATTTACACAATGCTGACCTGGCTATCTTCTCCCATAACTTTGGTATCCCAGCTCCTGTGTCGGCGAAAGCTCCAATGAAGGCCAAAATCAGGTGAATTACGAAGAATACAATTACTCCAACCTCGATTGACCTTTCACCGCCGCTAGTGAAATAGACCGCTGGCACAGCGATCAACGGAAGACCCCGGAGAAAGTTTATAAGAAGAGGCAGAGGCTGTTAAAAAGACATAAATGAATAAGAAATTGTGCTGCATTATTTGGTTATCTAATCATTTTGATCGCGTTGATGAATCCCCATAAAAGAGAAAACGCTTACTTGGAGCGTAATGAGAGTAGCAAACTGATTTCATACTTCCCCAGAGAGAATCAACCTATAATACTGTCTCTCTATTTGGATTTTATTCCAACAACAATCATTCTCAAGTTTGAGCGCTTTTCGATCGAGTGCCGTAAAACCAGGACCAAAAGATTCACGAAAGCCAATCGGAGGAAAGAAAAAAATGCAAAAAGCGTGGGAATCACAAGTGGCCAAGCTGTGTTTGGTTTCAGTATTTAACTCTGATTGGTCGAGAGCGAGGATGGCGCGAGTTTTCTAGACCAGTTACATGGCAAAGTAAAGCACAAGCAAAGAAATCCCGCATTATTTTCGACACAATTGAAGATAGCTCTACTTTTAGACCTTTAGCATCAAGTATCCCGAAAAGATTCTCACCTTCATGATACAGGACTCTTCTTTAACCGCCTTCATGTCACTGACCATCGAAGCCCCCATTTCAAATCCCAAAATCGTAGAAAGACGCATCACTTGTAGAGCATCGTCATACCCTGAAATTGCTGCCGCAGACGTGGCCATGGCGTCATCTAATTCCACATCTCGAGGATCCAGCTTACCTTCAAACTGATTGACATCCGATGGATCTCGGTCTAAGCGCTCAATTGCTGTAGGCGACATTGTCAGTATGTCATAGTCTCTGTCAGACCTGATATTTTTCTCCCAATTGTGGACGGTCGTGTTTGATATTAACTCAGGTTCCGTGCCACGGAGGTCGGAAAGGTTCAAGGGTCTTGTCTCGGGTGGCTCATTATTACATCTCTCTTCATCATCGGTAAGGATGTCCATCTGTTGGTCTGTGTGCTGTTTGGACCTCTGTCTTCGGTTCTTCAGCAGACATGTCCACAGGGGGCAGAAGATATCTTGGAGTATCTCAAGGCATCCCCTTGTTCTTGAACTTTCTTCTGAGTAAAAGGCCTTACGAAGTTTCCATCTGCAAATTAGAACAGTTCATGTGGTTAAGTGAGTGGGAGGAATCGCATGGTTTTCAGAAAGAAGTAAGAGGGATCAGTCATCGCCAACAGAGTATCAAGGAGGAACTGCTGACTGCCAGTGAAATGCTAATGAAGGGGGGGGGGGGGGGGATAAGAATATTACGTAGCCTTTCAGGGAGATGAGGTAAACTTTATCGTGACACATCCAAAGTCCTTCCATCCCCCCACCTCTTCCCCTTCCCCCCTCCTCATAAATAACGACCCGTTCCTCACCTGTTAAAGACATGGACGAGCCTCTCGCGTGATTGTCTCAAATATGGCACAGACCACAAGACACACCCAGAGGCAAAGAGCAGCTTATTAAACAGTCCATCAGAATACCCAACACAAACAACCTCGGCGTCGTACACTCTCCAGTAGATGATGTAAGAATAGAGATAGATTATAATGCCGTAGGACGTTTTGTCCCGGAGCATAGGAAGGACGAACCATAGTACCACACCAATCACCACAATGACCGCCCGACTCCAAAGAGGGATTTCAATGAAGAAATCATTTATTGCAAATGGAAGGAAAGTAAAACAGAAAAACAAAAAGAAAATTGTCGCGAAAAGTCTGAAATATTTAGACTTCTTGTCAGACAACTTTTGTGACAGAATGTAAAAAGTGACAGAGAGCGCCAACAGAACTGAAAACAGGATAGTCTTAGCAGCAGGAACGGTTCCTTGACGAGAAAGACAGTGCTCGCGGCTTTCTTGAGCTGTAACGTTGTGGTTACTTGCAGAAGGGGCTACTGAAGCGTGATCACAATCCAGTTTGGCGCGAAGTAACTTTCCGAAGAGGTCATCGATAATGAAGGCAAGTGGAAATGCGTATGATCCATATATGACAATCGGTTCGATAATGGTGACAGTAAGCAGTAGAAAGAACATCATAATCGTATCAAGGATTCCTCGACATGGCTTCTCCCAGTTACAAAAGTAACCTGCTCTTTGTCGCATGTTGTCAAAGAACTCTTCATGCCATTCTTCGTTGCCCTTTGCTTTCTTCTCGTTCCTGTATTTCCAATCCAAAAATGCCGTGCCTGTGTAACCACCCCCTGACACGCAGCTCAGGTAGTGTATTTTTGCTCTAACCTGGAGCAGTCTACGCAGGACTCCAGAGCATAGTGCCGCTGACCGTATGCCACCACCAGAAAAAGCCACGCCAGTTTCGTAGGGATTCATGGTACCTAAGACAAAAATGAAATTGGTAATCAAATAATCATAGAATGAACTCAGAATTTCCAGTCGGCAAATTCTGCGTCACGATTATTAAGAGCTCAACGTAGTCTCTACAGCTCATTGTTAAAGCTTCAGAGCGCAGAACCCGAAGGTCTGACGCTCGATTTCTTATTGCGACTCATGTGGAACCCGTCCTTATTATCGCCTGAGGGGTGGGGGGGGGGGGTAGGAGGATTTTGATCGTGTCACAATAAGTCTACCAGATCCCTCTGAAGATTCCTTTTTTTTCTCCTGAAAACCATGTGATCTCCATAAAAATTCTCCCACTCCTACCCCCCATTACCTAAGGCGATAATTAATGACTTTTCATCAGGAGCTCATGCTTTTCACCAACATTTCTTTGTTTCCAACGCTCTTTCATGACGAAAAACCATCTTTCTCTATTTCATTACAGAGCTCAAAATTTACCATATTCCTTATACTGTTTAAGAAATTCTGAGTCAAAATTGTCATTCGGGTATCCAATTCCGTAGTAGGTGCCGGATACACGGTGGGCATGAGCTTGTATCTTGAAACTCTTTTCCTTATTCAGGCCAAAGAAGTGATCTTCGTTTCTCATTTCTGACTCGAACTGCTTCTCACAGGAGACCAATCAAATACTTTCTTTGCTAACGATCGCAAAAAATCAGATCTTGACTCGTTAAAGAGGAATACCTTACCACATTTGACACTGAGGCGTTTAAAGAGGATACTAAACTCGAGATCATGAGGGGTTTGGCTACATAGAATTATTGCAAATTTATGACAAAATGCAAAAGAAGAAGGTAATTTAGTGTTAACAACTGGGTTGAAACGATACAATCGCTCTGACGAAGGGCTAACGCTCGAAACGTCAGCTTTTTTACCCTTTACGGTGACCAATCAAATACCACGGTTTCTTTAGAAACTTGCCCCTTTATGCAAAAGAAGAAGTTTTAGAGCGCTTTTAAAAGTCATTTTTTCTCATCATGAACGCCGCCCAAAGCGATTTTTAGCTACGAAGTTAGTTGGTTTTATTCCTTTATTTGCGGACTTTCAGCCGACTCCTTACCTACCAGAAATTCTGATCTAGCGTGATTCAAGTGACTTTATTTTGAGGGAATCTTACTCAGTGTCCGCTGACTGAAGGAAACGTCAGCTTTTTGCATTTGACTTTAGCAGAACGCTTCCTAATTTGTGGAAGTTCCTTTCACTTCGTGGGTAGTCCTGTGTAACCAAGGCGAAAGCTCTTCGAATTTTTTCAGTGGTCATCTCCGATTTCCACGCCATCTTGAATGACTTAATACTCATGTTCTACTGCGCACCGGTCACCTCGTGCCAAAGAACATTTGATAAACGACTCAACTTTAATAGTTAGCGCAATTATTGCTTTGTACAATACAGACCTGCAATTTATTTTGAAAGCCGCCACAAAAATCAGGTAGGGTTCTCCTGGAAACACACCCCTTTGTTTACACTTTACTTCAAGACATACGCACACATTTTCGGGTAAAAAATATAGACATTCCCGATAGCAACGACTGATGAAAAGCAATTTATTCAAAATAACGGTGTTCAATAGTGGTAGGCCTTTGTTTGTTTGTGTCCACTAATAACCTTGTAAACGAAAAGCGGAGTTGTGCCACAAGTGGGAACATGAAATATCAATATTATCGGGGAACAGTCAGTCGAATGAAATTCGTTCACGGTTTTGGAAGGAATTAAAGGCCCATTTCCAACCTTGATGCAACGCGCGCCGCGACCCAATTCCCTGTAATTCGAAATTCCCAGATCACTGAAAACCTTCTAAAATCGTCTTTCTCAAGAGCCATCCTGTGTCAACTGTTTTACGGTAAATACATTCGCCGTTCGTCATTTCATAGTTTTCTTACAGTATTCTTACAGTATTCAGAATTTTGTCCAGAAGAATCCGAAAGTCGGCGAAAAGGACAGCGTTCAAATTTTTTCACTTTCTAGAAGCGCTTGAGGATTCTAAAGGAAAGAAAAAATACTTCCAAAAGAAATTGGTATTTTTCAAAGAGAAATATGGAAATATCAGACTGCCGGAAGTTTAGTTATTCGAAGACCGTGTCCGGTAGTGTCTGGTGAAAATTTTCTTAGTGTCACTCTTGGATCTCTTCGCACTTTGTGAACAAGGTCAGCGAAATGGAGAACGTTGGAATTTTTTCACTTTCTAGAAGCGCTTGAGGATTGCGTCATAAAGATCTTACGTACTTTATTCATCTTCTCCCACACTCTGTTTCCACATTTGGAACATTTCTTATCAAATGAATACATAGAGCGATTGTTACGTTTTTTCGAAACTCGTATATGGTCGAGGTCACAAACGTTATGAGGCTCTCACGTCAGACCATGGAAGCAGAGCTTATCCTTCGTGTTAACTAATCGGGAGTCAATCGCTAATTAATCTTTTCATTGCAACTGTTAACCAAGAAAACCTATATCAGAGCTCATCTATGAGAAGCGCGGCACTCACAAATCAGAATTCGGCACCTTAAGATTTGGAATTGTAAAGCCAGGAGAGCGTTTATTTAAACAGGGTGACGCTAATTAATTTCAGACTAAAGCAAGTGACTACAGGGCAAAACAAAAGTATCTTAGCGATCGTTAAATTAAAAATTGAATCTAAATGGAATAAAGCAAGTTAATGCTTCGGAAGGGACAAATGTTCAGTTAATTTGAAGCTAACTCTTCAATTCAAGTCATGTCTCTTTGTGGGTCAAACTGTGAATAATTGCCTCAACAGACAAAATAAGCAGTCCATGGAGGGGGAGAGATTGCCTGTACACCCGATCACCTCTCTTTTCTCTCTCTCTCTCTCGGGAGACGTGATAAGAGAAAATACAACAGCGTAAGATTTCAAGTATCTTAATTTTCGCTACCCACACGCTAATGGAAGGTCGACACTCAATACTCGCAAAACCGCTCGAGCATGTTAGTATTAAGCCGAATTTTAGGTTTTAACCACGAGAACAAATGTTTAGCGACCATAAACTAGTAATAGAGGCTAGAAGCCCGAGATCTGAAAATAAAAAAAACTCATATCTGAAGAAAAACAAATGTGGACAGCTTAGAATTTCAGCTCTCAATCTGCTTACATTGTCGAGCTTATGGAGTGGAATTTAGGAGTTTTATCAAATGATTTTGAGACTCCGAGCCTTTCATAACCTTAGCAGGCCTAAACGCTCCAGATAAAGAGAGACTAAATGATACATACCGGTGCTTTGTAGATTTTCTTTCAAGATCAACTGTCTGCAACTGTCTCCTGCAAAATCTCAACCTTAGCTGTCAATGGCCTCAAAATAAGAAACAATTTGTTTTTCGTCCCGACTGTTTACTTTTGTTTCACTATTACGACTGTCAATCACGGAAAAGTTTTCCGTGATTGACAATCACGTAGTCAGCTCGTGCAAAGAACCTCTGGCCGTGACATGCACGCGAATGACACGTGTCAACATGCCGACATCTTATACTTGATACCTTGGAGAAAAATTCCATTCTAAGACTTCATTTTCTCCAGTCAAGTAAATTTCGTTTTGAAAAAGTGTACCCATTTTACTTTATTAGTGCATATTGTACTCTTCAGATGTGCGTAATCAAACTATTTTTATCACCAGAGGAAGTCAATGGAGCATGTCAGAGCGTTAATTAAGCCCGATCCAAATATCAAACAATGACGAAACAGGAAGATGAGGTCAAAGGAGCTAATGAGTTTTCCATCAGCTGCAAATATTTGCGGTGGATCACATTATGTAGCTTAAAACCACACGATCGATTGTGGTCATGATTAAAGCCACAAGATCACGTAGAATAGAGAAGTTTTCGATGTCGAAAGTGTAGAAAGCAAGCTAGGGTTTCATTTATGATTTGGTTTGCAACTAAGAAATTCTTTACGGTGGCCAATTTTCATTTATTTACATTATCAACTCAGTTGAGAAAACAAAGTTATCATTTAAAACCCCCGCAACCGATGCAGCAGCACAGTTCCTTTAAAATTTAGGATTTTAGTGCCTCTCTCTTCCAGCAGAACTTGACGGAGTTCAATTAGGGAATTTAGTTATAATACTCCGTGAACAGTCGACTTATGCAACATTTGCACACGAGAATAAACGGTCACATTCAAATTAATCGTTTTCTGTATTTTCTTTATCTAATATCTTTTCCTAATAATAATAATAATAATAATAATAATACAGTATTTATATAGCGCTATTTCTATTGCTATATTCAATTCTTTTCCTAATATAATTTCCTTCATCAGATTCTTACCTTGATATCGATGGAAAATTATTTACCTAATAAAATTTCATAATTCGCTCTAAAGAGAATTTTCCATAACGCAAAATTCCTTCCCCGCCTTTGGGTGGCATACACTTTGAATGACTCTTTTCAAACAAATGATTAAAGCGATTTACATAAAGCAGAAACAAAGTTCGGCTAAATTTCGCATCATTTCTCCGATCGATAACCTGAATGACTACAGCAGCAACTTGAGCGGGGATCATTTCAGATTTTGGAACAAAAAACGTAACCTATCCCCAGATTTCATTGCCCTAGAAATCATAACTAGTCTTTTTAAAGATTTCTGTCGAGGAAACGACCCGTATCAAAATTAGAGATTGGAGTAAAGTTTGTCTTTTGTACATTGTGAGAGTAAGTTACAGTACCAACAGTGTGTGGAAGCTCAACCATTGAAAATTCTAATCAAGCAAATAAATGAAAGTCACAGTTTTCTGTTTCTACCTACCATGTCAGAAACACCACTCGACCGAATCAATACACCCAAGTTATTAGGTGCGAGTTGATCAATCAGCGGAAAAGTTCGCTTAAGCAATCGTCAATTGAGCATCGAAAGAATTTACAGATTGCCCTGATTCTACTTTGGTTCACGACAAGTAATACACGTAGTTCACTTATCTCTATCTAATGAAGTGTAAACTACAAGTCCTACTGGTTATTTGACTAGCTGTAAACCATTTTGATTCATCGTCATTGACGCCAGGAGGTCAAATTTTACAGAAAACCTGTTGGCTCTCAGTCAATAACAATGGCACCGGTTGGTCACGCTGCGAAAAGTTCCCGCTAATCTGTGACTTTGCTTGCTCTATGTATCGCGTTTTTGATGTTGACCGAAGCCTACTTCCCAAGAAACGTACTGGAAACCTGGAAGCAGACGAAATTTGTATCTTAAGCTAAAATAACATAGAGACAAAGACCACGTTGCCGTGGAAACCGATTTCTTCTTTGTTGAGTGCGCCGCTCCACTGATGAGCGGAGCTGGTTTAACATCCAACGACTACAACGTTGTGGAGATGTTCATCTTAATCCTGGCCTGATAAAATTTCCCTGTAGGAAATGTGAGAAGAGCGTTCGAAACAATCAGAATGCGATGGTATACTCTGAATGTAGCCTCTAGATTCACGCAAAGTGCCTCAACATGTCGATCGACTTTTAAGTATTTTCTTGAACGACCAGCAATCACGTTCTCTACCGAGATTGGGAGACTCATTTTTCCTTGAGGATGAATAAATAATAAATATCGAAGGAAACTAGGCAAATCAGCTTCTTCTACAACCTAATGCAAATGAGTTGAATAACTCGCAATTCCACTCCCAGGAGAATATGGCTATTAACAACTGCGACCAACAGGAGTTTGATCTACTCTTGCAAGAAAGGCAGGAACATTCCAATCGGATACTAATTTTCCATCTGAACATCAACAGCCTCCAAAATAGATCTGATGAACTGAAACTCCTGAATGATAAGAATAAGTCGCAAATTATTTTTCTCTCCGAGACAAAGATCGCCAAGTCTTACCCGAACAGCCAGTTCAACTTAACGGGTTACATGATGATTGTAGATATATGAAATTCATGTATTTGCACTGCGGTGAAGTAACGAAATTAAGAGATCCTCGCAGCTGAGAACACTACGAGTAGTTGAAAATAGGACCTGAAAAAAATTCAGGCCCGTACGGGATTTGAACCCATGACCTCTGCGATACCGGTGCAGCGCTCTATCATTTGAGCTAACAAGCCAACTGGGAGCTGGTTAATGTGTTGCGTCGAAATAAACCATCCAAGTAATGAATGATGATTTTAGATACATGAGCCTTTTTTTTTTCAGGTCCTATTTTCAACTACTCGTTTCAGTAGTGTTCTTAGCTGCGAGGATCTCTTAATTTCGTTTCTTCACCGCAGTGAAAATATATGAATTTCATATATCTAAAATCATAAAGCCATAAAGAACTATCGTCCGAGTCTCTGATTGTACGAATGATGTTTTTCACATTCGTTCGTTTAGCATTTATAAAATAAAAGAGAAAAATGCATTGAATATTTCAAGTATACCTCCTCCCACCTCTCCCCAACCCCCCTCCCAAAAAAAGAAAAACCAAAACAAAACAAACAAAAAAAAACACTCAAAGGTAGAGATCTATAATTAGGGGCTTTCATATCGAGAGGTCTGAATTCTAGTTTAGCCGCTTGTAAGGACAGTTGTAAGCAGTTGTTTCAGGGTCACGGGGTAAACGAGAAAATTTCTTTAATTCCCTTTCACTTTGTAAGCTCATTAATCATTGGTACACTAAGCAGAGCTGCAAAACCACTTGCCTTGGCGGTATACGGTACTCCCTTTGCGCACTTCCTTGTTTACATGGCCGCCATGCTTGTTCAGCTCTCCTCACAAGCCGCTAAACTAGAACTCAGACCTCCCGGTATGAAAGTGTAAAATGACCCTTCAGCAAGTGAAAACTACACAATGAAATAAATTTTCCGGAGAGTTTGCTCTCATCAATAGTATGTGTCCATTTTGGAGGGGGTAGATGGCATGAAAACCGCTAGCCTCTCCAGTGCAGCCGTCCTCACTACTATCTAACAACTGCCCTTAGGACCTTTAGCTCATAGCACCTTAATGACGAGAATGAATGAAATATCCCCTATGGAAATCTATTGACTAGTTAACAATTGATTGATTTGATTGACCGGCCCACATTTGGATTTCTTCTGATAGGAAGGTATACGAAAGGTTTGGTGTGATGATGTCGTTTACGGGCACTTACAGAGCAGATGAATGGTCCTTAAATGCATTTGCTTCAAACGGTACCTAACTTATTACTATTAACTCATTATTAACGGTCATCAGTATTCTGGCAGGCTTGGCGTGGAGGACATCGCTAAAATTTTTTATCGGCTCAAAGTTATCTCTCATCGAGTGACACGAATTTTTGTTTCCACTACATAGGAAGATCTCTCTTCCATAAGAATATTGAAAATTGTTATTTCTTCCGCAACTTCCCTTGAAAGCTTCAAATGCGACTGACGACCAATTAATTTAGGGCGGGGTGATAGAAAACAGCCAATTGTAGCCTCTAACCGTCCATATATGACAACCGATGGATACAAGCGAAACAGGCCAAACCACTACCATGACCAGGGTCAGCGCCTCATAGTCCTTTTCACGAGTAATCCCTTTTCAAAAGCATGGAAACGAAGAGGCGTCACATACAATACCAAGTGCTTCAAGTTGCCGCAGAATGACTAATAGTCTTGCCCGGACTGAGAAAAGTTCGTTAATTGCACTGCCCGACCTCACCTGTTAATTCAAAATCCTGGTTGTAGGTGTGGTTTTGATGTAAACCTGCGACCTATTAGTCACAGTAAACATGGCGCGTTTAAACAGGCGGAGGTTAATTAAGAATTTGTTCATGCTTAGCGTGCGTATATCGAGTTATGGATGCACGCGGGAAGTTTGGAGAGCACGTAAAATGCGTAAGAGTAGCTCGAGGCGCAGCCGAGAGCAACTCTAGCTTTTTGAGTGCTCTCCAAACTTCCCAAGTGCATCCATAACTCGATACACGCACAGCTAAAAGCATGAGCAAATTCTTTTAAAACAGAACGACAACAAGGATCTGCGCGAGGAAGCCTTTTATTGTGATACAGTGCAAAATTCTCACAACGCACACAGAAAAGTAAACAAACTTCCTCATTAGTTGGTCAAAAACACGCCACATTTTATACTTTGGTTTGAGCGAGAACATTTGATCCAGTTAACCGATAGCTGTGAATGAAAAGCTCAAAATTTACGGAGAAATAGTTTTAGATTTAGATTTTTTGCGGCCTTGATTGTTTTGGTTTTGGTAAATTCCCCATTAACAACTGTGTACTTTATTTCCTAGGTTGAACAAATTTAAAAACAACAATGAAAACGGAAATTTTACCTTTAAATGTTGTTAATGGCCAATTGGTGAATTTTTTTGTTCCCAGTGAATGTCTTTTGGCTAAAATTTGCTGCGGCTGGTCTTCCGACAAATTTGCGAAACATGGAACTTGCGAGTTTTTTCGGCTTTATTTTTGTTGCTTGTTGGATGAGGACCTAAAAGGTCAACGCCCATAGAAAATTGGTCAGTTCTTCGCTGGTTTCTTCCATATTTCAAAGAGAAGGAAAACTGCACTGCAGCTTAACAGGACGGAAACTCTAAAGCCAGGTAAAAAAAAAAGCTCACGTCATCTTATTTACGCACGGGCATAGATTTCGTTCATAGCGGCTCAATAGGACTTATATAGGGCAAGCACGTGCGCTATGTTATAAAACACGTTAAAGCATTATTTTGGGACCTCGATGAAAATAGATATGGTCTCGGTACACTGTATACTTTGCAAATTGATGAATTTTTCTTCTACATTGGCAGACAGTGATGGGTCGCTAGGATGCCTAATGGTAAGTGCGGCGGAAAACAATGCGAAAGTACTGGGTTCGAGACCTGGTCATTGTGTTGTGTTCTTGGGCAAAACATTTTACTCTCCAGGGTACCGGTGAATTTTGAGGGAAGCCTGATGAAATGCTGGGGGTAATCCTGCGATAGATTAGCATCACATCGGGGGGGAAAGTATTAATAATCCTAGTCGTTTTATGCCAAGGAAACTGGGCTAAGCTTCGGCTGGGCTCGAGTGCAGTCTTTTTTACAAAAACAGCGCTTTTAGAAAGTGTTGAAGGGCTAAGACCTTTAACTCTTGTTGATGTTTTGTATGCATGAAAACACCGACATTTGCATACAATGTCTCTATAGCTACATGCTCACAGCCTCGCCTGTGTATCTCATACTTCTTGGATATCTTGTTCCTCCATGAGGAATTCAGCGGCTTGCGCTTCAATGCATGCTCGGTAACCTTCACGGTGATAGGCGGAGAACTGCAAAGGCGTGAAAAATTGATTTGCAGTAGAAGTGTTTGGAAACTTGTCACAGAAGAGCTCGGACAAACCGCTTAAGCAGGACTTTTTGTTGCAGCACTCACAGCAGCAGAAGGTCAACTTATCGACTTCCTCCCCAGTCAAATATGGACTATTTCCCCAGTCATTCGGCTCCAGGTTGAAACCAAATTCTTCCCAGGTTTTGACCTCGCTTTGGTCACCTTTGCGTGGATCCCGTGGCCTTATCATCATAATTTCACCTTCACCAACTTTGCCAACCTCATCTTGGTAGTACTCAACTTTAAATCTAAGCAGAAAAGTATGGATGCTTTCAGTCAATTTGAAGAGCTCATATAACCTCCATTGAAACAAAGGAACTCTGTAGATAACCCATTGACCCCTAAGGGTTACTGACGTTAGGTTGTAAGAGGTTAACGGTATTTCGGGTCAGTTGCAGCGTGCTGCAGCTTAAAACTTTATCTTGAGCCATAAAGAAAAACGTACCCGGGGTCAGAACAAACTAACATGGAACGAGCCAGGCCAATGAGTAAGAAAATTGATAAAGTCAACGAAAAATAGGATAAGATTTAGCCCAATGCCTTTCAAGCTATGAGGAACAAGCCGTTAGGTAAGTGCTAAAGACAACGGTGGAGTCTTGCCATCTCAAACTTGAGGCCATATCTTCCTTTATATTAGACTTGAAACATTGTATACCACTGATATACCCTGAATATCTCGTGCCCGTGTCAACTGATTGGTTCCTAAA